TGGAGCGGGATGGCAGCATTCAGAAGGTCTACTCAATGATCAGGCGTCTATGAGAGGGCCGCCGTCTATAGGCGCGGCAGATCAGGAGTAAAGGCACCGACCAGGCTTCCGCTTGGCACCAGTTCAGCCGACCCCAAACTCATGGTCACGCCGACTGTGGTCATTGCCCCTGTGCACCCGAAAGCACGCCGGCGCAACCGGTCGCTTCTTTATACAGCAGTTTTCATTCGACCACAACAGACCCCTCGTCTTCCAAATGCAGTGATTCCCTGAGAGAGGAAAACCTCGCATGCAGCAGCGTCCAAATTACGTGGAGCCATCAAAGCTTATCTGCGTAATAGACGACACGGATGCGGCCATGAACTCCTCACCTAAGCCACAGCCTCTGAACCGGACTGAGCCAGATGTGCGGGGATAAGCAGCGGAGCCAAACTCCAGATCCGCTCCTCTGCTTGTTAATTACGTGACTTATTTATTTGTCTCCCTATTCCTCAGGCTAGTTCACCACCCTTCCGTGACTGCTCAAGTTTCAAGACTGAACCGTTCCATTTTATACAAATTTGACTCTACCTCAACCGTTTTCTATAGACGATTTGTTTACATTTATTTCTGGGCTTGTTGTTGAAATTTTGTCCCACTTTGAACTGAAGAACAACTTCCCCGCTTAATTTGTCTGATAGCACACTGCCCTTCGTGTGCCATCCTGTGATGCTAGCTGCCCAAGGTTCAATCTAGCCGTAAGCCTTTCAGTAATTCTCCTCACGATTTACTGTTAATTTCCAATGAAAACACGGTGTACCTATCCATACTGTCTGCCCAAGTCCAATTCAATATATTGTTCACTGCCCAGTTGCGCCTACTGAACAAACGCACGTGAAGTTCGTAGAATTCGCTTTCGCCGCAATCATCACTGACCGTTCGTTGGTGAATTAGACTACACGCTACACGCCAGATAGGACACCTAGATCGTGCGCTGAGGCTGTGACCTATTCCTTGCATTGAACTCACGGCCTTAGCACAGGATCACACAGTGCTTGTGGACACAACCGTCGCTCAGAGCCCTGAAAGCCAAAAGCCATAAACGTGACTGCAGCCAACCGGATAATCCCCTGTAAAGCCAGTTGGCCACGCTGGTCGCTGACGAAGGAAAAGCGGCTGCAGCCAAGCAAACCCCAGATGATTCGCCAGATTGGAAACCTGCTGGGTGGCTTCAAGGTGCATTCCTCCGCAAAAACGCGCTGCATGAGAGTGCCACCCAAAGCACTACTTCTTGGTGCAGCCACCCACCGCTCAGGGCCTCACAGGGACACTTCTGTGAAGAAATGGCGCCAAAACATCCAAGAATCCAGGAGGGCAAAAGTTTGTCGCAAATCTTCTATTAGGAACAATTCCGGTCGCCAAATGGCGGTGCTGAAACAGCTACAAGCGGCAATGGTCGACATTTTCACCCACGGGGGGAAAACACCGTCCCCCGAAGCTAAAAGGCCCGAACAAATCCGACTCTCACGGGCCCAAAGGACCTTGCAAGCAAAAAGCAACCCCAGAAACCAAGAAGACAGGAAGCAGGCGACGTCGCTCCAGAGGCTTCTCCGGGAACTTGGACCCAAACCCGGCGCACAACTATTAAGTCTGCTAACCGCCCCGGTCACTCAATTTGCGGCTCCTCACCCTCTGAGGTAGCAGAAACAGTGTTCAAATGCTCGTCCACAAACTGCCTCAGCCTTTTCAACAAACTCGGCGATGTTTAACAGTCAGCTTGCTTTGAACAGCCGCCTATAATCGCACTCACGGGAACCTGGTTCACACCAGATGTCTCAGACGCGGAGATCTTGACAGACGGTTACTCTATTTTTCGAGCTGACTCAAAACGCGGGAGGGCACGTGGGTTGCTCTGTACTTACATGAGGCCCTACGAATCCCGATTGTCCTCTCTGATACCACTCCCGCACCTTTTCGCTATGCACTATGAGTCCAAATCCCGCTGCGCAAGTCTGCTTCTCTTCTCGGTGTAGTCTAGCGTAGCCACTCGAGTCCTCCCGAAGATGACCAATCCCTCATACTAACCCTTGAGCAACTCTCCTCCAGCTACCACTTCACTCATCTCCTGTTGGCAGGTGACTTCAACGCTCCAAAGGCCTCGTGGATGGAACCTCAGCGCGTCAAATCAAGCGGACTTTTTTCAGTGGCGCTGATTGCAGACGTTCAACAGAGCGCTTGGACTCAACATGTCGTTGCACACACCACATACCGTGCAGGCCAACTACCATCCCTCCTGGATTTGGTCATCACCAACAAAAGACACTTCGTTGATCAGGTAACAATTAACGCTCCACTGGGACATAGCGACCACTGCGTGTTGACCTTTGATTTCATCTGCTATTAGGCCAGAAATCCCGAACTTCCAACGTGGTTTCGAGACTTCTGCCGTGCAGACTTCTCACAAATTTGCATCTTTTTTGAATACGTTACGCTGGGATCAGCGCAAGTGGAAGAATTATATAGCACCATTGTCCTGAACGTTCACGAGGCTGACGCGATGTTCGTTTCAAAAAATCCACCACGAACTCGGATGAACCCGCAGGCTGCCAAAAAGGATTCGGCGACTTCTGGGAAAAAGGTCCCAACTTTTTTTCAAAAAGTCGACTACAGGGGATACAGAAGATAAGCTGGCATTTCGAAAAATAAGAAACCGCTGTACATCAGAAATCCACCAATGGAACATACGAAAAAAGCCACCATACTAGACCTCCCTTGTAAAAACAAAAACGCATTGTTCAAATACATGAGACATCGCCGCAGAAACCAGCCATCCGAGTTCTCCTTGACAGGAACGGAGAATCCAAGAATGACCCAACAGTAGTATCTGAAGTTTACAGAGAACACTATGCGTGTCTATACTCACTTCAGCGTCTTCGTCACATCCACTCTTGTCAAGGGGAAACTACGGACCGCCTCTAAGCGACTTGGTCTTCACGGTGGAGGACATCCGCCAACTCCTGCACAAGCTCAACCCGTTCTGCACGTTAGGGCCCGACGAGTTCATCCAAGGATCCTGAAGGAAACGTCGCGGCAAATCATTTATACCTGATGTTTCGGCAGTCGCTTGACGAAGGCCGCCTTCCCTCTGTTTGGAAGGAAGCGATTGTCAAGTCAGTCTACGAAACTGGTGACCGACTATTGCCTGACAGCTACAGGCCTATAAGCCTCATCAGAGTGCCATGCAAGGTGATGGAACGCATTCTGAAGCGCGCTATCATAGATCACCTTACTTTCAGCAACCTGATATCTCCAACTCAACACGGATTTCCCCCAAACCGTTCTTGCGTAACAAACACGCTCGCGTTTATGGGCAGCTTAACCCAAGCCAAGGACGAAGGACTCATATTGGATGCCATATTTTTCGACTTCTCAAAAGTATTTGATAGGGTCCCACACGTCCCGCTGCTCCACGAACTCGGGTCTTACGGGATTCAGGAGAAAATCCTTCACTGGACCAAGGCGTTCCTATCAGACAGATCATTACGAGTGAAAATGGACTCGAACTACTTTTCTCCAGCGCCGGTCCCCACTGGAGTTCCTCAAGGCGCCGTCCTGCGACCACTGCTGTTTTTGATCTACGTCACTGCTCTCCCAGATGTTCTTGCAAATCCATGTCTACTTTTTGCGGACGACTTGAAATCCTGGAGTTCCAATGCCAGTGTACTCCAAATGAACGTAGACACTGCAAACCAGCGGTGATTGGACTGGCACCCTTCTCTGAATGACGAAAAGTGCGTCCATATGCCATTTGGAGGAGACTCAGTGAATGCCTTGATCATGTATGATAAGAAGGGGTGGGAAAACAGCATAATGTTAAACGCCGAAAAGGATTTGGGTATCTGGCTCTCTTCAAACTTGTCCTTCTCACTGCGCCATGAGAAATCGGCTCCAAAGGCATTCGCCATTTTACGTATGATTTGCACACTTTCTCCCGGATTACCCGCATGGACTTCCAAATACTCTATGAGGCCTATGTCAGACCGCTCCTGGAATACGCCAACCAAGTTGTCTACTCAGGGCGCTCGAAAGACGTCACCTCACTGAGCGTATCCAGCGAGCCGCTACGAAAATCGTTGCCGGCCTAAGATCCGTGGACTACAACACCCGTCTCGCGATGCTTGATCTCTTTCACCTGGAGTATCGTCGATTCCGAGGGGAACTAATTCTTACTGTTTGAACCAAGCTTGGCCAACAGGCTTTTCACCGTTGACCCAGCAAACACACGGCGGTGACATGGTAAGATTTACAAGCTCAGAGCGCACACATTCATTCGGCAAAATGTTTCTCATTTCGGGTACTGGCTGCGTGGAATGACCTTCCTCTGACGGTTGTCCACGCTCCTTCTAGAACCTAGTTCAAAGCACTACTAGATAGTTATTTATGCGAGTCCTCGCACTGGCAAGCACACTGCCCCGCGCTGAAAGTGTAAAGAGAAGTGCTACACACTTTTTTCACCTGTGCCTTTCAGGCGAACGGAAGCCACTGAACGACAAGAACAAAATCGATCCGAGAAACTTGGACAAAAGCCTCGATCCTGTGTATCAATCTGTGAATCCGTGCCGAAGCCCAGAAAAATATCAAACACGTGGCTTACTGGTCGTTGGCTTGTTCGCTGAGCTGGGCAGTTTGGTTGCAAACGTTTCATCACCAATCGAAGTGACATTGATTGGTGATGAAACGTCTGCAACCGAATTGCCCAGCTCAGCAAACAAGCCAACGACCATCCACTCTACCTGAGCAACCGACATTCTCCTCTATAGAAAACGCGGCTTACTATCTTCACTTTTCATCCACCACAAGAATTACGGTTCAGAAGCTATTCCTAAAGGTCACAATCAACCAGGCTCTGTCCTCTTATCCACGTATATGCCATTTATTTTTACTACCGTTATCGACCCCAAAGTTTTGTTTTAATTAACTGATGTTGTTTACAAATTCAGGACAGGTTTTGGAATGACAAGGTCGTGAAATGCCAAAATCGGGATATGAAATCTTGTGCTTGATAATTCTACCACCGTTGGGTAAATGATGACCTTTGTGATTAGTATTTTTAGCTCATGCGTTTGTCCCGCAGATCACAGATGAGATAGTTACAGCCGTGGTTCAAGAGAAGGGCACTGCTTATCTGAACTGTACGGCCCTGATAGATGAAAGTCAGGAATCTGTGAGTTATTCAATGTGCAATCGTAGAATTGTCCACATCCGTCTTTCAATACGCCACATTTTTGTGCACGTTAGCATCTTACTGGGGGCCAAATGAAGCTGGTCTCCCACCTGAGGTTAGCTGAGATCCTGAAAATGGTAACAAGGCTGTGACTCTTTCGTGTGGCGGACTGGCCTCCCGTAGGCATCGACAGCTGCCACACTGTCTTCCTGGTAGTAACCGAACGAATCCGATGAGATCCTGTTTAGACGAACATGCAAACGGTATATCAACGTTCCATTCCAAAGGAGAGGGAGGCTGGGGAAACCGAAGACACACTTTGGGTAGATGGAGGATCAAAACATCGTCTGTGTGCCAGATACAAGTCTTTGAGTATCTACCAGGTAAACTGGACACCAGCGGACTGGGACAGCAATAAGCAGATTCGCTGAAGAAATCCAGAAGGAAAGTGTAAAATCCTGTTTTATCCACAGTAAAAAGGAAACCGCAAACCAATTCTTCACAAGCACCGCCCGCAGACTCAGGGAAGTATCTTAGTTACGGTCAGGGGGACTGAAACGGTTCAAATTGTGGAAGACCGAGCCTCGTTGCTGGCTCCGACTACTCAAAAGTTTCTCGAATTCTACAGCCCGTACAAATCCCCGATCGACTGGATGCAAAGAGAAGCAAATGAGTAGCTGCATTGCATCTGAAATAAATTAAATTATGTTCCACTTGAACACACAGCCAATGGATCCCTCTGGTTCAGTAGACTTCTGCACCAGACGACGAGCATTGTGTTTCCGGACAATGCCACGATCATTCATCAGTCTCCGAAAAAAAATACACGGTACCAATGACGTTGAGTGGTGCTATCGGTACCTTGTTACAGAGGCCCGGTATCACCTGATCAGCCACCGGCAGGTTGAATGACGTTTTTGTTTACGAATGTGGTGGAAAGATGGACAAGAAGCCTTGTGGCAGTACTATGATTGCCACGCCATACAAACGTCGAAGCAGATCCGCTTCATAGCCACCCGCTTCTGTGTTAAAAATCCCGTGATAGCGCGAATGAAGGCTGGGCGAGTCGATCTTATCGAGTATACCAGATAGATGTGGTATTCTTGGACTTCAGTGAAGCATTCGATATAGTGCACTGAATCACCCTCCTTGAATGTCTTCAAGAAAATATTTTCTGTCCTTGGCACATTGGAAGCCCCCTTTCTGATTGACTATCACCAAGGGATTAGGGTAAATGGACACCTTTCTGAATGACCACCAACGGGCAGTTCATTGTTAATGTCTAAATATGTCCTACACCGTTTAGCACCTACCTGAACGACTTACTTTACAAGCCGGATCAAACAACCCGGTCTTCGGGTCGTTTGAATGCGCAGCGTCAGGGCATAAGGGGGTTGAACTATTTTTGAGATATTCTATTTATTAGGGGAGGCTGAATGGTGAGGGTCGAACCACCAATCACCCTAACCTAATGTCAGCTACCGCTGTTTAGCAGGGCACAAACGAAGCATCATAATTCTGGAACGGCATCACGAGAGTTTTAAGCTTCTATACATTGTTTCTGCAACAACCTCAAGACGGGGACACACACCACTGGGACAGCGTACCCCATTTACGGAATGCCAAGTGCTGTGACTACGCTTTCGACCCGGGAGACTGTGCCAAAGCTATTGGAAACGTCTATATGGATTATCAGTAGGCATAGATTACCAACCTGTTTTTTCCGTAGGAATAAAGCAAAATTCTGCAGTTTGTCTGGTTATAAAAATGACATCAGAAGTTAGTCTTCATAGCTTCATCAATCGCCACCTAGACACAGACTCGTTCACCATCAAACACTGGCGCAGAAATAACTTGATATTTTTGTTTCAAGTCCCATGAGAGCGCAAATTTCCAGCGTTGCCATAGCTCTTTAATCAGACAAAGACGACAAAAGTACAAGTTTGAAACACATGTGTTTCAGAAGGTACAATGTAGGCAGGAAGTTCGTGCGGTAAACTCCTCGAAATTAGCATAACACCACCTAGGTTGAGGCCCTTAAGCGCGTATCGGCTTGTGTAGGATAGCTTCAAGAAGTAAAAGGGCAAGTTAGAACCCGAGATTATGTACCCTAAGCATCCTGCACGCTCCATTAACTAAAAACCATATTGTTCGGCACAAACTCCGGGTGAGACTGACAAGGACCTCTGAGTCTTCTTCCTTGATCAATTTGACGCTAAACCTGAATAACGAAGACAATCAACAGTCGAACACATATCCTGAACCCAACTGTGCGCGCTAGTAGTAAGTTACGGAATTATGAACCCAGTGATATTCTGTCCCAAACTCTGGTTGATCCTCTAGAAGGAAGAGATAAAGAACGAGCCCTCACTTCTCGTCGTGTTTGACTCTGACGAGATTAGCAGTGCTAAAGCCTGTGGGTCAACTTAAAGCCAGGGTTGCTCATAAAGCAGTGTAATCTGTACCTTATGGGGGTTATGTATTAGACAAACATGCACAGCACCACCTAATGTCTAAAGGCGGGCCTTTCTGTCAACACACGCCTAGGACACCTATTCATCATCGGGGCATTTGAAAGGTTGAACACTGCATACACCGGTTGGAGCCACCTGTCATACTCACATTGAATGTGCCGTTCATGTGCGGAATTTTAGGCCAAGGCGGCATGACACAATTCTGAGACAAGCGCAGCGGAGACTCAACAGATAAGTATACATACCTCATAGCCTACCGTATATCGTAGGTTTAAACTTGCGAAGTGATTACATCGTTAACATTTATTTTTTTAACTTATGAAAATCCCTGAAATATTTGCGCCACTCCTTCGAGCCTAAATTTGCCTTCTGTAGAACTCTCTATGAAAGAACACACCAAAATGGATGCAATCAAAAAGCTACGGACGTGCACTTCTAGACATAACACTCCTCAATCGTCTTATATACGCAACATCTTAATCGCCACCCTTACGCTATATGTAAGGGAGAAGTTTTGGCTTAATTGCCCTCACCAAACCCTTGAAACCACTAAGTGCACTTATCAATTTTAAATAGGTTTGCAACCGCACAGGTGACATCAGCGTTTTGGTTGGCGTGAATAAGTGAAGCTCTTTAGAAGTGGAGTAAAATATCTTATTGCAAACCGAAATAAAATGTTAGGATAAGCTGCAATGCCTTGGAACAAAGAAAAACTATCGGTGGCATAGTGAATAGGCTGTTTCTAAGCCAAAGTACCTCACGCCATATATAGATTCGTGATGAGATTGGCTGGTAGACGAGAAAAACCTACGCAGTGAAATATATTCCGCGACATTCAACCCTACTCTAATGAAGATCCCCGAATTTTATTGAAATTGGAATGTAAATTACCCGCTTAAAATCTGGGCTTCAGATAAAAAACAGTAAGTCCAGAAGTAGTACCTATACGGACGGCGGATGACATAAGTATCATCTTCTAATGAAATCTGAAAGTGCATTTATACACCTCAATAATGCAAGTTATGAGGCCTAAAATTTCATCCTGCTTGAAAAAAGCCTCTGAAAATGGAGTTAAGAATACCCAGGTTGTCTAACTCAATGGCAACCCGAGCAACAGCAAAATGCAAACAATCCGCGTGCTTCTTATTCATCCAAAAGCAAAATTTCAACTGGAAATAACTAAGAGTTTGGCTTTTTGAAAGGCCAAGTGAACGTAAGGATCATTCATTGGCAAAGCTCTAAGCCCTTCAATAAGCACGCCATTTGATCAGTTCTTACGCGAAGGATACATCTAAAGCTACTGCACGTGGCCTTAGCTACACATCTTACGCTAACAAGAGAACCCAGTTTTAAACGATGCAGCGAACAGATAACTATTCTTGTTTTGGCCCCCATGAATGTCATGAAGAGATGAACGAAGAAACCAACTAACTATCATCTGGAAATCAGAAACCAAAGCGGAAAGAGTACAGCAGCGTTTTTTCCGCCAACGCAACTGATGCATACTGAAAGTACTTAGCAGCGAACAGATAACTATTCTTGTTTTGGCCCCCATGAATGTCATGAAGAGATGAACGAAGAAACCAACTAACTATCATCTGGAAATCAGAAACCAAAGCGGAAAGAGTACAGCAGCGTTTTTTCCGCCAACGCAACTGATGCATACTGAAAATACTTACACTGAGAACCTCATAAAACTCCATCCATACAGGAGCAAATAACCCCATGGGTTGTAGGCCCTCAGGATGCTTGGAAGAAGAACTTGAAGAACATGTAGCGCGCTACAAGTATGGATTTTGGACACCACCTTTATTCAGCAGGTGATGAACGACGTATAGAGGCATTTTGTTCATGCACCATGGACTGACACCAAGCTCTGATGAGGGTGCACTGAATGGAAGAGTGCATGCTTGTGTGCAAGACATAGCAGTCATGCTAACAAAGTTATCAAATTTTGTATACTTTCAGACGCGGTTTCATGTGCCACGGAGAGTAACAGTCTTGAAAACCTTTGTAAAAATACTAAAAACACACTCACTAGCATCTGATAAAGGAGGTTTATAAGAACGTTTTAATGTCAAAGCCCAAAACGTGTAAACAGGGTGTCGTGAAATAGTCTGTTTTCTGTAGAGGAATCTAGAAGATAACCTAATCTTGTCTGTTGTACTACCCTATCTTCTCAACTTGAAGCTCATGACTGAAGCATGATGACAAAATTCTGGGGCAGGCAAGATGTTGGGCTACTCATTTCATATGTAGACTACACAAGTTACCATGTAGTTAAGGACTAGAATACCAAAAAATAAAACGTAGGAAACAAGAGTTTCCTAGAGTGCTTTGCACTCGGGTTTCATATGTTCACCAACTCTGGCCGCCTTTTTCCGCTCGCCGCCAAATTTACTACTTCCATCTAAAGTCCGTTTTCTACAATGGCTTTATCTGGGACTCGTGTCTTCATCCCTCTTCGTTCCCTAGAATTTTGTTGAATTTGTAGGGCTGTGCAGGTTACTACACTGAAATCTCTGCCCACCACAGGGTGAGGTTGTTTTACACTGTTTTGTGTTGGTCCCTCCAGTGTTGCAAGTTGGGTGAGCCGGCGCTACGGTGCAGCTCCTGCGGTTATCTACCCAGCCCACGTCGGGCAGAATGGACTTCTGGGTTTTAACAGTTCTACCTTTGACGACCATATACGTTGTAGAAAACATACGGCAATTCAAACGGTTGTGCTGGGTGGAAGTAGTCCGTTAATAGAGTTGAAGGCAAAAGAGAAGGTGGTAACGTGGACGGTCCTGGATTACCGGCACTTGGCATGAGTATAAGATGGCTGCACAAGTTCCTGCAGGCCGAAGGGTCCGGTTTGGCAGCTTTCAAACATTTACTTTAGAAGACGACTTGAAATTCCAGACTAAATCGATGACACACTTTTCGCAAGAGGGACATGTTCATGCCATCAATGTGGACAGCTGCACTGTTTCAAAAAGGTTTTATATACACGCTCTGCATTACTTAACACTAATTATATATGACGGAGGTCTTTCTCAGGGTACGTTTGTGTATTACAGACAAAAAAATCAAGAACGATGTTGAAAGCAGCACTATTCCGCACAACCAAGTTGTCGGCAGTTCCTTTCAGTTTGTGTGCAGGGCCATCGTGGAGTGATTCAATGTCATTTCCATCTCTTGAGGCGCTGGGATTGCTTGCGTAAGAACTCTTATTTTGCCGTAAATTCGGTTGATTATGAATCCTGTCAGTTAATTTTGCTCTGCTAGATTAGATAGATACGTCAGTTTCATAATGTTCCGAAATGGTCTTACCTTTCATTAACTAAGTTTCGTCCTAACATGTACGCCATTTCCTGGCTTTGTTTCCGAGTCAAGCTTTTGACCTGGTAGAGAAAGAGGGTACTGTGGGTTTTGAAAATCAACTTGCTTATATCATATCACAACTGGTGATCTTATCCCAAGCCGTCTGTTTGTGGGTGTCCCATGAATGTCCAGTCACTAGCAGGTAGGTTATTTCCATATTGGATAAGAAGTCCTGATATTTTGCGTGGGCCACTGGGTGAAAAACATGGACTAAGTGGTTACTTTGGTATAGGGATATTCGATGGTCACTGGCGCCATCACCAACTCTGCACTGATCAGAGTAATGTCAAAGAGTGAAGAAGTCTCTCAGCTTTAGCAACGGACTGACCGTTTGACGTAGTTGCAAAATAGGACTCTAAGCCGATTTATTTGTATTTGGGGGTATGGTACACGAGAAGTAGAATGTCAGAGTCTTACTTTACAACGGTTTGTTAGCGATGAAGACACAAGGTATCAAAATCGACCGTAGTTATGTACTTGTCTGAACAGAAAGTATTTTTAGAGACTCCAGAAATAACGGCTCCTCAGTAACTTTGACCATCGTTGGGTGAAAAAAAATAGAAAAGTGTATATTGTTTTCTGGGAGGGGGAAAAGCTAGTAGGGATACTTAGGAATTTACCGCTGCTGAACAGAATTATCAGGCAGTTTGGAGCTGCGTGCGTGTGGAGCACTTGAAGTGTGACCAATACTAAGCCTGAAGGCATTCGTTGCTGAGTCAAAGTCTTGTTGCTCATGAGTAGTTTGACCGTTTATTTACCTTTGATAAGTCGTTCCCGGAAAGCTATCCATTGAGATACCCAGAAGAACAGTTTCACATCAAAATGCTGAGATGGAATAGGAAGGCGACCCATCGTTATTGGCTGCGAACCCAGACAGCATTAACAGGGACCTACCACTTGGGAATGTCTGTTTGAAATGTAAATATCATGTTGCTGACACCACCGGTATTATCAACGATGAGCGACTGGGCATCGGTGATCTAATAATAATCTTTTCAAGGGTGATTTGGCTTTGAAGTGGAGTGAAAGAAACAATCACTCCAAGCATATTAAGACGGACACTTGACAGTTCGGAGAAAGTATGGAGATTTCTGACAAAGCAAACGTAGCCAAAGAGGCATGTACTGCTGGCTGCACCGCTTGGATCAAAAGTTGGCGAGATGAAAAAACTTCTGCATCTGTGACTTTCTGAGTGCACAGAACGTGAGGGGCCATAAGTTATCTTATTCCAAATCTAAACATGATAGGGGTATGCATTCGGAATATGTTATACAAATGGGATGTGTCCGCACAGGTAATGAAACAACGAAAACCGAATATACCTGCGTTGGCAGGAAATTGGTGTCAAGAATGCCAACTGGAAGACAAAGATGGAGGCACGGGCATATGGGGTTAAGTGTTCATGTTTCGAAGAAGCCGAAAGCTGGATCTGTCTTCAGGATATCTTTGATTGACTAAATTAGTGGAGGAAACTGGGGACATGACAAAGGTCCTGGCAACATTGTCGAGCAAAACGAATACAAATTCACCGGTAAATTTACGCGCCCCTACCATTTTTGAGAAAAGCAAGTGGTCCGCAATCGAAAGACTGATAGACCATAACAAAACTGTGGTGCATTTTATTGGAAAAACAAAGGTTTTCATGCATCAGGAGATAACTTGTCGTTGAGGATGTTTATGATTGCATGGACAGCTGAAAAAGCTTATTGAACAGTTTTAAACTGCATCCGGTGAAAATTCAGTCCTCCACAAACTTACCAAGCAATACTTAGGAATAATGAGAAAAATATGCACCGGATGGATGAACACTGGGGAGATTTAATGCTGGAAAAACCCTGAGATCACCGAAACCCATCTGCCAGTACTGGATTTCACAGTACCGGTTTTGGCACAGTCCATTGCGAATATTTAAAAGCTTATTGAACAGTTTTAAACTGCATCCACAAACTCATTTTGCAATACTTAGGAATAATGACAAAAATATGCACCGGATGGATGACCCCCGAGAAGATTTAATGCTGGATAAGCCCTGAGATCACCGAAACCCATTTGCCAGTACTGGACCTCACAGAACCGGTTATGGCACAGTCCACTGCGAATATTTAGTGATTTCCTGAAAAATCGGATGCTGACGTCTGCAGTGGCGAATAGTAACAATGGTGATGCCATTGACTAAGACAAGGAATGGGCATGTGGCAAAAAATCGTAAAGCCCAAATTCCGTCTCAAAGAAAACCATTGGGCGATTGATACTCGATGTGCTTGAAGAGACTGCAGCAGCACAGCTTTATAAGCCACAGGTCGTGGGACGCGAACCTCTTGGCGGATGGGGGTCGCATTGAGTCCGTTATTCCACTGAACATGCTTGTAAATTATGGTTTTCCCGAATGCTCGGGTTTCTCCAGGGCATATTTCTCTTATAAATGACTGATAGGTTTGATTTAATGGTATCCAGTCAAAGCAGCTTGGGTATCGCAGGACCCAGTCTTCACCCTATTGCTCTGTAAACTGAGCATCAAGAAGATTCAGAGCAAACAATCCTAGGGTGGCTAATTCCTTAGTAACGCTTCGAAAATGTGGCCAGTGGCCCCCGAGAATGGCGACGTATGAGAAGCCCCAAGGGTCATCGGAAACCTCTTCGAATGCTGAACCTGGTGAACGTACGTAGATGTCATCAGAACTGACTGCACGGTAAGTGAATACTTCTTGCTACTCGCGATATTAGCTGGTATGACGATACCAACTATTTAGAGTCAAACAGTAATGACTCTAGGCGGGATGACTCACTGGTTAGAGCGCAAATTCATTGACCAGAAGTTCCGTGATTCGAACCCGACCTCTGTCTCTCGACAGTTCCTGTCTAGACTTGGGTCACCTGGCAGTATACTAGCCCCTTTATGGAGAAATGAATGGAAGTGGATGCGAAAGGGACCTAGTACAAACCCACCATAATCATTCCGACGTGCTTACACTTCCAGACATCCATCAAAGCACTCCGGATAGAAAGTAATAACATGGACGCCATAGAAGTCATTCATCGGCTATATTTCACAGCGTCTTTGGGGGACATATCATATTATAGCCGTTGCATTGTAGGCATAACGACAAGGTAAATACAGAGACGCAATATCTGTTATCATTATTTCAATCTGACCACCTGGGGAAAGTCATTGACATCGATGTTGATCTTCGTAACCAATTTGAATTTCTTTTCCTTGGAATCATTGAGATCAACCGTTGGTTGTGTTTTCCCCAATCTTGTTGTGATTGTGGGTATCTGTGATGGCATTCAACGGTAATATAACCTTCCACCTACCTTAATTCGAAACTAGTGTATTGCACTCATCCTAAATGTGAGCAGTACGGTGGTTCCTTCAAAAATGGGATAAATTCTCCTTCATCTTTGACGTGTTCTCCCTCTTCGAATGTGAACGTTTTCATCCGGTGGAAAAAGAAACTGCAGCCAAAACTACCCCTTTCCTAAAGTATGCATAACTCAAGACCAACATTCACTACTTATTAGTAGTAATGTAGACAGTTAGGTTTTATTGTGTGAAGGAACGTTTATGCAGAGCGCAAATCACCGATCTCATGGTCATCGTATTTTGCCCCACTTTCACAGCAAATCAGCTGGTATCGCACGCTGGACAAACAACAAATAGCTTCTGGGACCACTCTGAAAGAACCGGTACGTCGTGGGCCTCATGGAGTCAGTAAGTATGCAGTTCGCTTCCTTCCTGGTCGACCACCGTATGCACCCAATCTGGCCGGAGTGGATTTAACAAAACTGCGAACCTATCAACTCATTGTTAGATTTGTCGACATAAACGATGCAAACACACAATTTCGGTGCGTCATTGAATTGCGTGAGTAGTCTTTCTCTGTTCTACTATACATGACTTGAGTTCTCTCTATTCCGTTTATTCTTCCCGCTTGCAACAGACTGCGTGAATGAATGAATGCACTTCTACGTCTACCCATGTAGGGCACATGAGAAATGAGTGTTCTGTTTCACAGCAAATGCAAGTAGAGCAGCTGTGAAAGATCGCAGCTCGGATCAATTTGTGTTACTTGTGAAATCCGAACGTTTATAGAATCGATACCAAGTGAACAGAAGCGCTCGTAACACACACTGTAGAAGGGAAAGGAAATTACTTACTGGGCAATCACAACACGAAAAGTGAAGATGCGTTAGCTGACTCACTTACATCATCGATTATTTGGGTTGGCCCATTAAACTGTGGTGAATTGTTCGTGTCTGTCGGAACAATTTGCTTTACTCTGGTTGATCGGATAGCGGTCGGTGTATCGTATTGGGAGTAACACGCACAAGGCCACAAGTCATTGTTTCGATATTTTATGGATTCTTATGTAGCGGTGTCTTTAGTTTGTTCTTGCTGCAATAAACTCACCGATGTGTTTTTTTTAATTGTTGTATGACTCGGAGCACGATTTCTCTGAAAGCACTGCAATGTCAGTGGTCGAATTGTTTTCTGAGCGTGACCACTTATCATACTCAGCAAGCGATTCGTCCACCAGATGAACAATATCAGCCCCCGGTATTCTCTTTTATATCAATTATCATAGTAATATGACGCAGCCAACCATCAAACACGATACGTAAGCGCTGCAGTATGTAGACCCAAAGACGTCGTTTGGTAAGGTAATTTCTCCTATTACACGCTGCGCTCGAGTTGCGCGGTCCTAATGAGATAAAGAATTTTTGCTTCATCACTTGGAGATGAATCACCTTCAGTGTTAGTTCCACTGCCTAACATGCAGCATGACATGAAGCTCAGAACACTTTAAATTCGTGGTTTCCATGACGTCAGATTTCTTTTCTGGCTATTAATTTTGGCTTAGTGTAAACAGTCTATTGGTAATTCATCCGCATCATTCCATTATCACTGACTGAAATTCACATAACACACATTAGTGCCTAATTGTGATATCAGCAACTAGATTCCTACGCTGAAGAAGACTGTCTTTTTGAAAAAACTCGCAACGCCTTACACTCAGTGGTAATTTGCAACAAGATATTGAGGTAAATTTACCGGCTCACTTGGAAGAACTATTCTTGAGTGTCGAATTATCGGGTCCTTCCACTCAGTGAACTCTCTGCGCAATCTTCAAAACTTTTCGTCGTGAACCAACATCTTGTCCCACAGAAACTTACGTTCGCTGTACTCTACTGGAAGGTTATCTGTATACGGTCAATGACACCTCTCTTCACTGGCAACCGATGCCGTAGGATCATCATTAAATGAGGAATTTATCTGCTCAAAACGGAGTGTGAAATACCTAAAAGATAGTGAAGGTTACCCTTAGATTTAAATCAGCGTCTCCTGCAGTTTCCACTGCACCTGGATTTCCAGGGATTCCACTGAACGACGGAATTGTCAAAGAATTGTTTGTTACTATCAACGCCCAACCAGGATGTCGTCCAACAGAAATTGACGAGAATCACTGCCCTTGTTGCACTGTAAAAAGATAACTAAATTTGTTCAAAGAGATTTTGACGATCAGAATTCCTTACCCCATGGTCCTAATGTGTCTCGTGGGATTTAAGCAAAAAAAGTCAAGCATCAGTGCTTGACCGACTGTGAACAAAGGACTCATATCATCCGGCGAATCGTTGCGTGCAACCAAACAGCAACGAAAATAACTCCTCTAGTAAAGCTGTCAACACGGCAGTGCTAATGAACCAACAGTGCTTATCTCCTTAAATGAACTAAGAGGCAAATTTAACTCAGGCGCTATGGCTACTAGATACACTGTGATTTCCATTAAACTCACGTAACTGAAAACCCAAGAAGTTATCTCGAAATTGGATGAGGAAAGTAGGTCCTTATGTTTTCGATCTTCGGAATGCATTAAAGCAAAAACAAATTGTTTAACTGAATTCAAGTGGATTGCATTTCTCTAAATAATGCATGATGTACTCATATTCCATAAGTAGTAGGAAATTTCACTCCTATTCCGCAACACTTCAGCTCCGTGCGGATAAACTAATGTGTCACTTGGGATCTTCCTAGGTGTTTATAGCAAATGTGCAGTCAGGTCTCGAAAATCTCGGACACACAGGTGGTTTTGGCGATGTTGCGGAATGTAGGTAGCTCTGGTGCGTTGCGGTTTTATCCCTATCGAGACTCGTCAGGTGGGCGAATCCAGAACCGTTTACATGAGACATGGTGACAATCTACTGACGAATTGTCTGGATCCTTCAAAAGCTAGACACATCAAGAAGGGCGCTTAGTATCAGTCCAAACTTTTGAGTCCCATTTAGGCATCCCGGAGTCTCAGTGATGCTGGGAAATTATTCCACCAGGCTTTTCCGCCAGAGGTATGACTGCTCTAGTGGACAATGAATGGTGAGCTGCAAAAATATGAATGCATATTAGGTTGGTTTTTGGTTTGAACATATACGCGGAAAAGCGAAACATTTTGGTGCAAAACGTTTTACGCCCTATCAAGAAGCACACCGAGAACCATACTCATAAACCGGTCAAACCACTCATTGACCAGGCATTTACTGAAAACGTCCAGTGAAATTTTAGTCGCAAGGTTCAATAATTATCAAGTCCACCGAAGGGATCGATGACTATTTGAACAGAACATTCTGATCACTCACCAACAGTCGGGTGAACCGTGATCCCGTGATCCCACCTCTTTCTTGTTCTCGGCGCCTTGCTCAAGTCGGATGAGTGAATAACGGCAACTTATATCATTATCCACAACGAAGTAAAAACTCTCTCTGTTCTTGAAGACAGAACCTCAATTTAGCCACTGCTCATGGGCAAGAATATTACAAGCAATAAGTGGTCGAGATCAGAAATTTCGTATTTTCTAGTTCTGTTGGTTCCATGTTGATTCCCTGTTTAGTCAGATCACATCTGGCCATGAAGTTGCCTCATCACCTCACCTTGTCAAAAAAGTGGAACATTCGAACCTTTAAAAGTCAACATTCTAGTGGGAGAAATTAGTCAGACATGATCTCTCACAAATTGCCAATGTTCACCAAGTTTGGGAATGCATGGAGATAAAACAAGGTCAAGAGAATGCGGAATCGCGCCGCCATGTTCTTCCGTTAGAATGCCATCCGTCCTCGAGAGGATCGTGAAATTGCTCTCACTCTCAGGCTGATATAGATTACGAGGGATATGGCCATCCAGGGATGACTAGACAAGCTTCCCGATGTTTTATTGTGAAACTGAAGTGATAAACCAGGTCTTTGGTGTAAAGCTCCCTGGTTTTCTGTCCTATGTAGAGGTTAGTGCAGCCGTTACACCTTATTTTGCAGACAGTCTTAAACGATGACTTCTCAATCGGTTCCAAACCTTTTCCAAAGGATTAACTGGACATTCATTGCGCTCCCAACATGACCTGTCAGTTGAGCATATTCACTACCCTCCTGAAAATTGAGTTCCCAGCTCTTAGCATACAAGCTGAGTAGGTTTACACAGGCGCAAGTTGGAAATAACCGAGTTTCCACTCATGGATTGACAAACACGTTCGCGTCCGGGTAACGTTTGCGGTGAGCCTGACGCCTTGACAGTTCTTGTTGTGTCAGAATTCACCGTCAGCGCCACGGTAGCTGCAAACAAGCAAGAGAAAATGCTTTATCATTCCTAATGAGCTTCTGTCATACAGGAACCCTAATTCGTTGTCTACGTTTGTGTTAGTGACCCGCGGCAGATTATGAGGCTGTTCAAATAAGGGCCATTATGCAAACTACGCAGTTTCAACTACTCACAAGTAGTCCGACAAAACCGCTGTTTTGCCAAACCGCTGATAGACTAGCCCTGTAATGAAGTACCATTGGACAGTTTACTAGGTTTCCCATTGCGTGTAGCGGTGTGAAAACTGTTCCATACTGTATGGCATAGTCTGGAATTAGCTTTTTATCTGTCTGAAATGCATGTACTTGTCCGGTCCCAGAAACCAAGCATCAACTTATTTTCACGAATCGGAAATATTGAGTAGGCACTGAGTAATTTTGCGGCAATTTCGCGAAATACTATTCTGTGTGCTGCTTTCTATTTAAATTGAATGAGATCCCATCTGGTTTTTGTCTGTAGGTACCACCCCTAGAGAAGAGTGGCCTCAGGCCTTTGGACGCATTGTCGTCAAACGGGCGCCAGAGATTCTGCCTGGACTGACTTCCCAGATTGTGAATGAAGGAGAACCACTCCGCCTGGATTGTATAGCTCAGGGTAGCCCCGCGCCGAAAGTCAGTTGGACCAGAGCCAACGGAAGACCACTCTCGCTCCCTGGCTTTCCACAGAGGATATACGTGAGTTATGCGTCTCGCTTAATTGTATTGGTTGGTTGTACCGTAAGGATAGATACTCGTCTATGCTCTATTATTTGAAATATAATATCTCAGTTTAGAATATTACTGTGAAAACAAAGGGATACCCAAATGTGTTGACTAAAGACTGGACCGAGTCGTTTCATTTATGTTTAATTATTATTCTTTCATTACTCCCAATAAAATCCTCAGATAGACCTGTGTGCACCAGAATCCTCGCTTTCCGTCCACCGGGTGTGGGAAACAGCTTAAATAACGGGAAGATCTAACTTGATCATATAGTTTATTTCCATACTGCTTTAGACCACCCAAACTTTAGATTGCAACTAATTGAGCCCTTCAGTTTGTTAGTAGTATTGTGAGGAGATCTGGTGTTTTTAAATTGAGATTTCCCCATATAATTGGAGCCTAAAGGCACTGTACAGTTGTTCCATCCTTGTTGGGGACCGTGAGCGCCGTACATCTGACGAAATGTTTTGGAGTTTCACGCACACAATCTCCTGGCTTGTAGTTTGAACACTTTAGGTTCGACCACGAACGGCTGACCAATAGGGTGGCTAGCTCACATTTACCAATTAACCAGAATGTCCAACGATGACTGAGAGATGTCCAGGAAGGATATTCGCAATGCTTTTCATCGGATCGATATGTTTTTACAGCAATGAATGGAAACGGTTACGTTCCGCAAACTTGAGAGACTGCCCCTGAAAGCTGCACCCTTTAAATGGTGTTTGACCAAATAAACACCATTTTACCACTCATTACTCTGTTTCCTCGTGGAACAAGATGATACCGAAATACGGTGAATGCACCTGTAAAATGTGCTGGGATACAAAGCTTATCATCAGTCATCCAAAAAACTCAACAGTGGTTCAGTAAAATCGATAAATCCAACAATACCCGCCACCTACTTCAATGGGAGATTCTAAATAATGTGATCATGAGTGGTTGTTGCCTGACTAGGATTGAACACCTGCTAGTAGCAAGTGAGAATCACGGTGTGATCAGACCATATGAGTTGAAAAGTGACCATTTTTCATCGTATCATAGAGGAATTAGAAAAAGGACACATGTTGGATGTGCACACCCTTGTTCTCCTTATTTGGCGTGGCTTTTGTTCTAGCTCCACAATAAGGTGATTGTTCAAGAGGTATAATGTTGTCCAAATTCACTACCACCTTGTCCATGCAGAATACAACACTGTACCTACCAAGGGTCGACCGATACGATCGGGGTGTTTATCGCTGTTATGCCGTGAACAACGTGGCTGAGTCGGCTCAGTACGACGTGATGGTTGAGGTGAATTACGCGCCGCATGTGAGAGAGGCTAGGTTCAAGGGTGCCTACGGTCAGGTTAGTCTTTTTCTCCTGGTTTTCTTCCGTCCCTTACAAGCAGTCGAGTGACATCATTCTCATTTAAATCGAGTAAGGCTGGATATGTTTTTGGTAAAATGTAAAAATCACGAGCTCCCGATGCTTTCCCCAGCATTTGTAGATGTTCAATGTTGTTCTTTTTTATTCATCTGCATAAACAGATATTGAATTTAATATGGCTTGAAGATGTGTCGAGCACCAGAAGCTGCGTTGGTTGGGACATGTGTTACGTACCATCGTTTGCCGAAGAGAATGCTGTTTTCCATGCCCAACTCAGAATGGCGTAAACAGAGAGGTGGCTAACCCTTGACCTGGCAGAGGAGTATGAAGGAGATCACGAAACGCTTGGGTGCTGTCGGTGCTACTCGTCTTCCTGGGTGGGGACCGCGTGATCCTCACTGTGCCTGGTTGGAGACACTACAAGATATGGCTGCCAACCGATGTCAGTGGCGTTCTTGTTGTCAGTTTCTGTCCAGATTACTTGAGTGAATGTCTGGAGGTGTAAGCACCTCGGAATGATTGTGTTAAGCTAGCACTAAGTCCCTCCCCCGTCCACCTTCACTCTTTTCTTTACAATGAGGTTTTCCAATAAGTCATGGTACGGCAGTGAAGCATTGGTGTTGAACACTGATGTCATGCTGCTGCTGATGATGACGGCTTAGTTGAACGGCGCTCTCACCACTAAAGACAGAATATCCCAAGAACTAAATAAAGTATTTGACAATATTTTTCTTGTTCAAAAGTAGTTCAACTTCTTCTCCAAAAAGGGGTACGTCTTACTCATCAAAATTCAATTTCAAGCCCTATCTGGCCAAATGCCGAATTGACCTCGTCTTTAATGTGCGTTTTGACCCCGTTTCCAAAGGGGTCAACAAGCAATGATTTATCTATTTCCTTTGTGCTGAATGAAGCGAAGTCTTCATGCGGACTTATCAAACAGAGATGTTCTTGGGTCAGCGTCTCTATTCACGGTCGCTGCATTCTTTGACTTGTGTAGTGGTGCGGTCCCGTATTGGCCATACCTCTCAGTCCGAGCTCTCATTGTGCTGATTGGGGGGGGCTAACAATGGTAGCTATATGCGTTACCCAAGTGACTATGCGAGAGATATCATTCTCATGAATCTTGGGTAGCTGGAAAATGTTTGACGGTTGCTTACAAACCGAGATCAGCCGAAGCAAAAAGGGAAGACCATCATAGGATTCTGTGTTGTGATCAACAGTTTCAGACTCGTGTTTTGCGGTGAACGGTACAACAGCTCTAGCAATTTGACTGTCACTATGGCCAAGGCGATGAAATGTGACACAGTTTGCAACACACGCAAGTCTCGAACTTTATTTACATCTGAACATTGAATCTGGCAGCATACGAATGACACAACATTATTACGCGCGCAACGACATAACTTTACACACTACGAGATCTCTGTAGCCAGTTTGGACAGTGAACAACGAGTTTTCCTAGCCACCAGCTGGTTATTCCACGAGCATCACTTCAAGGAAAGTGTATTGATTACTCGGGGCTGAACAATGGACACCAGAAACCGTACTGCCAGAAAGCTCACTTTTTTTCGGTCAGGAGGGATACGTATTTCACATGACCAAAGGATTACCTATTCGGACATTCCAGCAAATTTCTAGAATTAGAATTAAATTTAGTTCTGCAAGTGAAATAAATGCTCCGAAAAACCATTTTCCCCTTTCCGCTACAGGCACCAGATGGAAACTATGATATCACGTTGGAGTGCATCGTGAATGGTTACCCTGATCCCGATCTACTCTGGTACAGGGGAGTCTACGACCCAATAACTAATAACGTTCCGTTGTATGACAACAATCGATACGAACTGGAGAAAGCCCAGAGCTACGGAGCTGCAGGGACAAACGTAAGTGTCAAACATAAACATACGAGTCCAGAAACTCTAAAAGACTTTAGGCTAAATGCGAACAACCATTAAGCAGTTTGCATCTGATTATCCGATCCTCCTTTGCATTGCATTTAAAAGCTTGAAATCTCCACTTCCGAATCCACAGATTACAGACGTGTTTTCCACGCTTCTTGTGCGTAACGTTCGTGTGGGAGACTATGGGAACTACTCGTGTAGAGCAGAGAACAAATACGGATCGAGTTTTGTTGTAATGTACCTATTCTGTAAGTTTTCTTACTCTCTGTGAGAATTGGTTTCAACAATTTTCCATAATACTGATGGGGTCAACCCCTGAAAATCAGCACTCACTTGTGCTGCTCTGTGGTCCAGTCAAATACAAGATGTCCGAACCACGGAACAGCACAAATCGTAAATGGACCAATGAAATAATGATATTGCTGTTCCTCACTCAGGAAGTCAAATCAACAGATAGGAATCGCTCTTTTGTAAGCTATATGGACACAACCTACCCAACCGCATGCTGATGATGTCCCCACAATTTATGACAAAACGTCTGCAAGAAAGTTGACACGCTCGGCGAGCAGATCAACAGCCAATTGGATCTCAATGGGTTTCGAGCAAAGCTTGGACAATTAGGCATAGCCTACACATCAGAGCAATCTTTTCCTCGGGTTGGTTACACAAGATGGCAGCCGGTTGGGAACAGGTGTATTCATAATCACCATGGTTGTTGTTTTGATCAATGATCCGAATAGTCTCGTTGAATCAGTGACATTTGGGAGACTGGTTGACCGGTATCGTTTTGTATATTGTGAGTGGAAACCCGGAAAAATGCTAAGGTTTCAGCAATGGACGATTGTATCTGTCACTGACTTCATTAATGTTCCAGTAATAAGACCGATTTTTTTCAAAGGGACTGTGCATAAGTGTTTGCGGAGTTCTGTTACTGTTCGTTACTTTGTTCTTACGCTTGACTCGGCACTACTTACAAATATGATAAAAACTTTTAGACAACTTTTAACCGGATTCGCTCATTGGATATCGGGCAAAATAGTGTCGGGTCTCAGGCTCTCAACTGAGTACTCAAATTCACACAGTGCCCAGACGCTTTGTCTATTCCGCCAGGTCTGTGTTGCTGAGGTGGCAAGCAAACACATCTGGACATGAAATGGAGTAGAAGTGTCGGACTCTAGACTAAACAGACCAGTTCTCAAGCTCTACAAAAGACTAAGAATGACAACAGTGTCTTGAAAAGTTGTCACACCGATGATCGTTTTGACATATCCTGTTGGACTGGCTGATGGTTTCATCCTACCAAACATATTGCTTTGGGTTTAAGTGGGAACGGTCAAAGTGTGTCAGCACAAAGGTGACTGTAATTACCCTCTTGTTTATCAGCTATACGAAGATGGTCACTAGTTCATTCAAAACGGGTTGGCATATCTCTATACGGAGCCAGCAAGCCATCCACTATAAAACTTTTAAGAAGACTGGCAGTCCCGGGCCAAACGCAGCTCGGATAACATTGGGAAGTCTAGACTGGTGGGTCAATCGATCGTCACAGCCAGGACAGTTTCTGGGTCATCGTTCGATGAGTCGGGCACACCAATCACATCGCTCAAGTGTGAACACGTTCGCCTTTTCAGACATGTAAATTCAAATACGTCCGACCTGCGTTGGTGGAGTAGTGGTTACACGCTCGCCTCGCATGTCAGATGTCCGGGGTTCAAATACCGGCACGGCCATTGGATATGCACTGCTGATGAGCTCTAATAAGAGCGAAACTCGAGTCCAGTGCTTCCCTTTGGTGTGAACTCACCGGAATAATTACACCAGAACAGGAATGCGGCTGTTCAAACGAGTGGTGTGACTATGAACAAACATTGGACGAATTGGAAGCCATCTGATGTATAGTATGGAAACGCACAGCGCTGTGGAATGAGATTCTATAATTCGGTTGTAGTGTGTAACACTTTCATGGACCGAACTGCAGCATCCGTAGTTATGGCTTGGACCTATTGCACACCAGTTGGCGTGGCGGTCAGGTGTCAAGCAGGAATCTCAGTAAAGACACATCACAGCCAGCATAATAGACGGAGGCACAACTCAGCGAATGTACACACATACAAAACCAACATAGAACCACACACGCTGATCGCACCTGATCACCGACTGATCTCAGGTGAATGGCAACCAGAAGAAAGTACTTTGCGGAACCAAGTAAAACTGCACTTGATACGTATTCAGCCGATTGCAAAAATTCTTAAAAAACGTTGCCTTCTGCAACCGAGATGTCGGACTTCATTCTACTGTGCTGTGTATTGGATTCAAACTTCCGTTCTTATAGGGGATATCTCCAGGTTCCCGTTGGTGGAAATACAAACGATCAACTGATAACTTTCATTTAGGATGACTTTCACAGTGCCAAATGTGACATTCTTATGACCCATATTGTTGTGTGCTTTGCAAAAATCGACCACACCCTCTACTGATTTTCAACCATTTCGTCCACAGATCAATCCATTTGTCAAGGCGCGTATTGTCCAATGCTGGGAGCCATTTCAATGACCGCCAGACTAAATCCGGACGGGACGCCTGTAATCACGTGACTGCTTTTTTTTCGGTTACGAAGCCTATCTTGAGTTGCAGAGAGCTTTTCTCCAGCAAATAATTCGTTTTTACTTTCATAGGAATTGCCTTGAAGTTTCTATATTTTGTCCAAAATCTCGCTGGTACATTCCTCAGTGAATTGGTCGAATTGTGCACGCTTTTCTCACACATTTTGGATTCAATTAAAAAATTCAAGATTCAAACAGTTACGTTTCATTTGGCTGAATGATCATACGGTTGGTTACCGGCACTGTCCGAGTTGGTCTCCAGTCCGGATGACACCTTGTGTAAAGTACTTCACCAGTGGCCTTTCAAATGGTCAGTCAGGGAGGGAGACTCTCTGATGCACTCAACTAGGACGGCTGCTTGAAGTTAAACAAATCTCAGAAACCGCATACCAGATGCCACAAATTTTCAATGCCTGCTGAAGTACTCTTGGTCGCTCAGAATATAGGTTACACTATGTTGGCTGTATGAGAATATCTGGGAGTTCCGTCCTAGACGGGTAACCAAACTGTGCTGAAGTGCCAAGAAGCATTGCACATCTGCTTCATCTTCAGTTGTAATCATCATCACTGCACATCCAACGAAACTCCGGAGTTTTGAATCTGCCACCACCCGGCTGGTAGTCTGTATCCTCCGTCAGCGGGTTCAAAACACCCTGCCGTCTCGTGAGATGCGCACTGTTGACGAGTCTTTCTCGACTTTCCAGCCTAGATGGGCTTCGATTACAGGATGAAATCTTTATTCTTTACAGCATTTTGTGTCTCTGTTGAAACGTGACGAAATAAACAAAGTGCTTTCACTGCAAAGAATCATTCAGGATCCCTGCCTTCTTGCATACCTTCCAAGCAACATTTTTGTACATATCAGTTTTTTGGAAAAGTAGTTATTGTTTTGTGTACTGAATTGAATAAACGGCTCAACTTTAACTCAGTTCAACATAGCACTGTATCCAAAACACTCAAATCTAAGCCAGAACATGCTAGCAGAATGAAATCAGCATAATGATACAGACGTGAAGAAAGAAAATTCTCTAATCCCATCACCCAAACATTACCGTGTAGCTAGATTTCAATCCAACCGGTTACAAACCAACCTGGATGAGAAAACAGCAAACTGTGTGCAGTTGGCGGTTAGTCTTGTCATATCGCGCCCTTCGCCCTCTATAGGAAGTAGTCACGAATTTTCGAAGAAATATATTTTGCAAGTTCCTGTCTAGACAATTATCTTCAGCAAAGAACTCATGATTTCATCCAGTGTTTTCGCGTAGTCTTTGGTTTTGAGTACGCCACCTACATTTATCGAAAATAAATGTATAGCATTTCGTGATCACCCTCGGGTTTGTGAAGACGACCGTAAAGTGGGATCCTGGTACACCTCCCAGAGTATAATCCTCCGGAGTGGAGATCGATTTGTGCTAATGCTACATTTCAGTGCTTATTGAGAGCACACAATCATTTCCTCGTCGGTTCTAGACCTAATTCATCACCATTACCGACAACGACTCATCTGTCCGGTCATTCAGAATACGTGTCATTGCCATTCGTGCAGAGGCTGTTGGCCTTTTGAACTGGTCATGCATTTGAGTCAAATTCATGTGTATCCGTTCGCCTTCATTCCTCATGAAATTATGGCTACTAAATCAGGCTGGCCAGCTCCTTCCTGAGCCAAAGCTGCCACTTCAACAATATTCAAGACTCGTAACGCGTGGCGTCTGCAAATACGTCCTAAAAGTAGGCGTGTCGATCGAGGCACAAAGAATGACTAGCGGGAATAACCTGCACGTAAACTTGTTACGTTTACGAAAGCTTTGGGCTTGTCAAGTAGACAAAATCCGTACTTTGAGTGGATCAAATTTGTGTTTAATATACCTGCTCAACCATAACCATACCGAATTCGGGAGTGCGCCATTGGTGAGTTTCACTCAAGCTTACTAACAGTGCTGTTTTTGAAGGAAACATTGAATCATTTCTGGAGAGGTGTTATCAGAAAATGCCAGTCCTATAATCCTCTCTGATAAACGCTCTCCTCGTAATTCCCAACCTGGTGTGTCGAATTTGAATGAACAAGTGATCCGGATTTCGTATATTGTTACAGGCAGTCGTTTGAGCGTGCTCGAACTTCGTGTTCCTTACCAGTGGGATAAAAACAGTGGTTCGTACCTTGCTTTCGAGAGACACAGTTGCTGTAAAATAAAATGAAAAATTGGTTACAACAGGTATGATAAATTAAAAAACATTTATACATCTTATGCCTTGATTTGGTAGCATTCAGACTGTTCTTTATGCCGGGCACTAGAAGATATAAATTTACTCAAATACACACCACAGAAATCAGTGCGAGTTATGCTGCTCATTTGATAGTGAGCGAGCATTGAATAGCAACATGTGGGCAAATAAAGCTTACCAGCTCCGTTTCAATGAGTTTATGGACCTCTTCAAGCAGACGTTGTGTTGCTCTGTAATACTCACCACGTTCGGGCCAGTTCTGGTCACGCTGACGACGGTATTCAGCGAGTGAGTTCACGCTCGAGCGAAATTTGAAGGTTTTTTGCGGCACAGAAGTTGGCTCAACTTTTGCAAGCTGTGAAAATGTAGGCTGGAATTTTAGAAAGTAAAACGGAATCAATTTTTACCGTTTTTTGGTAAACGAAACGCAATAAAATTGGAATTCAAATAGATAGGGTTACCCTGCTCATCCCAACATGTTGGAATTTTCTGAGCATTGAATTAAGCCTGAAAAATAGCAAAACAGCAATGCAAACCAAGGGATGGATAAGTCCCATTAGATTTCAGGACAGAAGGTATGGTGACCAATTATTCAACAACCTTCTTAAATCCGAAAGTCCCTAAACACTAATCCAATAAAGAAAGGATGGGTGTGGATTTCCGAGTTCCAGATTCCAACTGCTGACATAATCACTCTGGCTCGATTTTTGGCGAAACACAAATCTACTTCACACCCTTCTTAACTACGTACTGCAGTAGCTTAGCAAGCAACGCTAAATTGGCACCGCTCATTTTATCGCTCTTTAGAGAATACTTTATGCCTGTGCACCAAGGCTGCTTTTGAAAGTGATTCCGCACTATTCATAAAACAGCTGAATATTATTTTTGAGTTGGGCTATGTGCCTCCTTTCTCCCATGCAAGTGAGAAAAAATTGCGTTTAAATCATTTGTTCTTACAAATTCGAATCTTCTTGGTCTGTTCGACTTGAAAAATCCCAAACTGTTCCCAAGTGCATGTCGCTTCGGATAATGTTCTCTGCTCAATGTTGAGGACCGAAGCTCAGGGAAGCCTTCACGAAGTTCAGTTTTGAATTCGCGCCTCCGTTTCTTCGCATTGTTTGTTTTGTAAGGTTCATATTGCAGCGCAGCGTAGCACATTTTAACCGGGTAACTGGTTATAGAAGCTTCCGAATCAGCACAAATAGCACTGACTGCTTCTGCTTGCTCTTGCCTATTCGGACCCACACAGGCTGTTGTACACCAGTTTTTGTCCTACGTGCACCTACGCAGCTGGAAAACTGCGCATTGGTTGGCCAGTTCATTTTGCCGCTTTCCTCACATCGTCATCTATCTTTGTGAGGTCAGATCCAAAAAGTCTACCTCTCTGACTGGAGTGCGCTCACACGCGTACACAGTTCACCTAGGCTGTCTAGTACTTTGGCATACAAACGTGTCCCAAACTTCACCGCTTCGGGTTATCAGGTGGGAAAGTGATGAAGAAAACAGTTTTCAGGTAACCCAGTGGTGTCGGTTTGGACGAATGAAGTCGGAACAGTAATCAGCCGGGTATCCACGATGAGAGTTTTCGAAGTCACCCTGGTTTGAAAAGCATATTGAATATCCTCCTCAATCACTTCCTGGGAAAAGGGACAACAAAGGACATACTGTACTCACTTGCCAGTGAAGCTGTTGCTAACGGTAAACTCAACTAAATCCCAGCTGAATCTTTATCCTGTGATAATTGCCAACTGAACGTGTTGTAGAAATGATGGCTTATGTTTCAGGTTGCATGGTATTTGAGAGAGCGCAACATATTTTCTTGGCAGAAGGAACCATTCAAAAGGTTTTTGAAAACTGTCTGGCAGTCCACGATCGACTGCGATCCTCTCGATGCTCAACATAGACGGAAGATTTAGCTGAATTTCAGTTCTGCAAAGGCCAAATTAGTTTCCAAATAAGTGTGTTTCACAAGTTGCTTTCAATGTGGGCTCGTGTGGAAAACAGGGTTAGCGAATATACACTCATTTGCAAACTAATTTGTTTTTTTCAAGAGACTCACCTGGAACCCAGCTGAATCTCTCGGTTGTGATGTTTGAGGCAACTGAATGTGCTGCACCAGGCCGCCTCATGCTTCAGTCGCTACGATATTTGAAATATCGCGATACATGTATATCTTTGTAATGTACTACTCATAAGGCTGCTGAAAATCTGTCGTCAGTCAACGACCAGTTTCGCCCTTTTTGGGGCTCAGCAGGTAGGCGCAGTCCCCGGGTTTCCGTCAACCTTATGTTCTACTTGAAACCAAATTTTGCGAAATTAGCGAATATACACTCATTTGCAAACTAATTTGGTTTTTTTTCGAGAGACTCACCTGGAACCCAGCTGAATCTCTCGTTTATGATGTTCTCAAGCAGGGTTGATGATCGCGCTTACCTGATGAGCCCCAAGAGAGGTAGAACCGGTGTTTGGTTGTCGAATCTTTTTCAGCGACCTTAGGAGTAGTGCGCTACCTCAAGAAAAACGATGAACTGTGTAGACTGTGCAAAGTATTTTTGACTGGGGTCAATAAGTATGCCTGGAGAATAACAGCCATGGGACTACCTCAAGCCTCTTTGAAAGAACAAAACGACGGTAGGGACAACTTGCAAGATCAAAAACATCCAAGTGAAGTCACATAGTACGAGTTTAGCAAATACAAGAATAGGCTCCTCTGGAACAACTGACGCGTCATGGAACCAAGAACGGAAAACACAATTTTTTCGATCTACAGTGCACCGTTTCCTCTCTGTAACATCACGTTCTGAAATTGCACGGTAGTCCAATCACGTGTACAATTATATCTACAAGTGTATGGACATCTGCCCGTATTTCTTTAACGTTCAATCGCTGACTATGTTGTTGTATCCGAGCGAGAAAGTAAATTGTTCAAGAGAAGTTGTATAGTATAATTTATCCGCTTTTGCCGGTTTGAATAGGTTTGTATTTGGTGGATAAAAACAAATCCAGGATTTTAGTCCAACTTTGTTTTGTCCAACAATTCAAGCATTCCGCACAGAAACAGCGTTCCACGTTTATCTGGCTGGGTCTATGGACAGATTTCACTGAGGATTTGGATGGGTTTGATAAAAATGTGCACACAGTTGGTTTAAGCTTCTCATGTGCTTTCATAAACGGTTTAGTTTGTTCGGACAACTTGCTATCTTCGGAAGCAATGCTTGATCTGATCGGATTTCCCAGATAAGAGAATTAGGTGTGCTTGCTTTTCCAGGAGTTTTAATGTGAATCAAAAGACCGAACTTGATAAGTGATAGACGGGACCCCTTTTCTCCTGTGCAGTCCTGACTCAAGCTATCATGGGCAGCTAACAGGTTTTGGAGGACTTACCTCACTGATTTCGTACTCCAGATAATTAAGTACTTATTGATTGCGTTGATCACATTAGAAACACGGTTCTCTCTGATTTGAAGGTTTTCTACACTTTCAGTTGGGCATTTGTAGACGGAAGGGGATTGTATCCTACCCAAATGCAATCAAGAGATGTGACTATCTTGGGTTATTTCCGAAACGCATTGAATGGATGGGGTAATACCTCCGGCAAACCATTTCTTGTTACGTTCTAGGATGATTTTTGGATACGAGAATCAGTCCCCTGTCCGTGAGGCTGTCATGTGCTGGAACGAGTTAGAGAGCACTGAATTCATCAGTAATCCTACAAACTGACGAGAATTTGTATTAATTGGGGTTCACCTTCACCGGAAAGGCCACTAGATCGAAACGAGTAGCGTTTTTTCTGCGAGGTAGTCTCCTTTGGGATCACTATATTAGCAAAAAAGAAGCTTCAAGAGACTAACATGAACTGACTTTTCCAAAGTGGTTTTTCTGAAGGTAGCCTGGGCAAATACCACTTACCTCTTCATTGTCTGCATTAAGTTCCCTTCGATAATTCAGAAAGTGACCGTCAGTCAGCCGAATGGTGAGTCGCGAATAAGGCTGTAAGTCAATGGAGACCAAATTTTTTCAGTTGACTTAAGTCAGTTACGGTTGAATCACAATACACCACCCTAACTAACAAGCTATTCCATGCATTGCTCAAGCTGAGAGGTCACTTCTTACTTCACGTGTGTGTAGGATGACTTTCCAGGGTATGGAAAGAACCTGAAGCCTTACCTTGCCGCTACAAAAAATCTCTATTCTATGTCCATGTTGGGAACAGTCGTCAGCTGGCGTTTTCTTTCCAAACAAACAACAGTCAAAAGCAGGAACTCCTTTAGCTGCAGGGTTGTTCATTGGCAAACACGAACTAAGCTATTACAAGCCATTAGATACGAAATTAAACATGTATTCTGTACAGAGAGTTTGTTAAGTGAACAATCTCAACCGTCTTCTTGAAATTTCCTGGAATTTCATCTAACATTAGACAATAATAAACAAACACTGCAAAGTGGGCCCGTAATTTCGGTAGTTAACGTCACCTTCCGTTAGATGCGGACCCAGAAAACCGGACCCTAGACTACTCGCATGCTTCACCAGTAGTATGCACCATGACACCTCTTTTCAAAAGTTCCCTGATTTTGGCAACAATCTGACCCGTAAAATGCGGAATGAGAAGCGTTTTTTGGTGAAAAAGGGCGTACTTGTTGAGATTCGACATTATTTGACGTATATTCTGAGGTGCATACGTACCGCGTTTATGGATTCAATCTTTGGGCTGGTTGCTGGTTGTTGGTTTTCGTGGTTATGGTATGCGATCTATATACTCCGTAGAGTGCCCTCTCATCTCAACAGCTAATCTCATGTGACCGACTTCTTTCTCAGCTGCTTATGATCGTCGCAGGTGTGTTTCTCTCACTGGACTAGTGCGTTATTTTGACACGACACACCACAAGACTAGATCAGGTCTTTTCACTGGAGAACAGTTCAGTCTCCCAAGGAAACAAACACTGTTTTTAATAGGTGCTCTCATAAGCAGACGGGAGGACGCCTTATGTCAGAATGTTTTTAAGTGACTGATTTAACCCTACTGTGTAATTTTAAAAAAGTGGCAGTGCCGGGACTCAGTTTAGCGTTACTATGACACTCTAGTTGGAAGGCACGTCACTTTCCAGAGGTGACTTTGTAGAGTAGGTAGGTGGTACAGGTAGGTAGTACAGGTTCGCTCACTGTATTTGAGGACCTCGCGAAACACTTATGTGAAACGTTTCAGTACTTAGTCGTTTATCTGGTTCCTTTCCATATTTTATTATTCTCGATCGTTCTACTGCTTAGGTGGGCAGCTTTTCTAAATGTAACATACTCACACGGCCTTTCGTCCTGACTCGCCAGAATTGGCGTTTTAGAATGGGTCTCTCAACTCTGCCGCAAATAAACTTGATGGCAAACGGTGATTAAACCGAGTATCAGTTGAACTTCTCTCTTGAAAGAATCTCATTGAGAGGGTGCTCCTTCGAAGAGACAGCTGTGGAGTGTCGAATTGTTTCCATGGTTATCCCTTATCCTCCTTCCACTTCCAGATAAGTTATTCCTTTTGGAGGACCACTGTATTTGGAATGTCTTTTGTCTTCGACTCTTATTAGGTAGGTGACCAACATCTATGAATAAATTCTGCGATAGTAAACTAACCCGCTGCTGTGCCAACCCGCCGTCACTGGTCTCTTCTCAGCTGGATATAACTTGATCCTTCCTACGCGTAAATCCTTATTTGTTAGGATAACTCACTATTTTCAAGCCTATCCTGGTCATTCAAATCAGAGGATAGCATGGGGCAGATACATAACGAGTTTACAAAACAACGCTGTTTTGTTGTTATGCAAACATATGCCTTCACCATAAATTTCCTTGTCCGTAGTTTTAAAGTTGATCTTATGCTGGCGAAGAAAACCGCTGGATTTTTACTATCCAGTTCGAAATGCTTCACCAAAGGAAACCCAAAAACAATGTTTGTCTGCAGGTTCTGATAGGAAAGAAATTTAAAAAAATTCCGACCTACCTTCGGTGAAATCGCTTATAGCCATAGGGTGCAAATGAAACTTTATACCACAATGCGATAAGGTGGTTGTTTTCACCTCAAGGAGGCATGGTTGTAGTAGAGGAAGGTGTTTATTTAAGGGAAGAGGTAATGCACTTGCTGCAATAACCGTAACGCCTCAGCTAAATTCACCCGTGCTAGCGTTTCTTTCAGCAAAAGGGTCACCAAAGGTACACCGAGCGTATTCAAAGCCTAAAACAAGTTAGAAGCGCATGCGCTGCCTGCCGTGCAAAGACGGCATTCTGGAAACTTGGATGCCTTCTGGCAACCGGCACTCAGCGGACCTTGAAACACGAACGCCTCGAGGACCGCTTTCGACCAATCAGATCTCGCTTTAGTGCTGGACAGCCAAACGAGCCGATCTTCCGACCAATCACGTGCATGTTGTGTTCGTTGGTCGTAGCAGTGCCTAATTGCGAGCGATAAGGCGATTTTTTGTGTAGGATTCCGTTTAACACTTGCTTACAGATGCTTTTGCACCAAACGCGCCAACATTCCGGCAACGTCCAGCAACTTGGACTGTGGAAAAACTAAGAAAACTTCACAGCCCTAGTTTAATGTGCGTTCTTGACAAACGAGAAAAACCAACACTTGGCAACTCACAAAGGGCTTTGGACCACGCAAAATCAACGCCTGTTCTGATTTTCTCTGAACTCTCCGGAGCCAATGCAACTGAATTGGCGGTGGAAAAACAGCCAGTTCATGGATTCCATAACGTAAGAACTTCCTGGGAAGAACGGATGAGTGTACCTTTAAGTGAATAAGTCTGAACGTCACTTTTCACCAATTTAGCTTAAGGACCTGAAAATTTGTGTTTTACCGTAAGTTATACACCGTATTTGAGCGGCTTGTGATTTAATCTTTGTTTTCTAATGTGTTTCTATAATATATTTAAAGAAAAAGGGGAAGTCATCTTTTGGACATTACAAGTAAAATTAGTAGGCTAATGTTGAGCAATACCTGCTCAGGTAGATGAGATTTGATTCGCGTGCTTTGAAAGTACCCTGTTTCGGTGATGCATGCGATCTTTGGCGTTTTTTTTCGCGCATCCGGTGGCCCAATTCTGTTTAACTAGGCGGACAACACTCTAGCCAAGCCAGTCTGCTGGCTGCTGATCAGGTGCCTGTTGATCTGTTCGCCCAGCTTGGCAATTGGCTTGCAACGCATTACCAAGCTGGTCTGCATCCGATTGGACAGTAGCAGTCCATACATTCAATGGTACCTCAGTATGATAATAAATCCCCCAGCAAGCTGTGGAAACAAATATCCCTTCAGTCAGCTCAACAGATACCATAAAAGCGTAGATGTAATTATTAAAGGAGATGTGATGGGACTGCTAAGCTCCGGACGTGTTGGAAAAGGCCAAACGTCCATATAACAGGTACAGAGCGTGTGTACAAATGCTCTTCGCTCTACGCCTGCACTTTATACAGAGAACTTAATGCAATAAAGCTCGTCTTTGTGGAGGCAACATTCACGTGATTCTTCAGTAACTTCATCCAGTATTCTTGTGTTCAAAATACTTCTAGGATTATCAGGTTCAAACAACTGAAAAACTCGCGTTTTTGGTCTTGTTCGCAATCGGTGAATCCTTCGTGGTTCCATCCATAAACTAAGAGCGTGCACTACTGAACTAAAATCAAGACATCTCTGCAGAGTGTTAGAGTTCCTCATTCCGTGTTTAACTAGAGTGTCCATGAAAGGACCATTACTTTCCATCACTGTACTGCGTAGAACAGCGTCTTCGGTACTTTCGTTCCTCAAAGGGGTCGAATTGTTCAAACTTTGGCTATGGCCGTTTCCCTTGTTTTCTATTCTATTCACCAGGAAAGCTGTGACAGTGTATGGTTAAATGGTTGCATTTTGCACTCATTTTCAAAGGCTTTGCGTATGTCTGTGGACCATTATTTGTCTGTCAACGTCACAAGTACCCAAGTCGCCCTGTACACAACGTGTCCAATGTCTTCTTGCCTTGCGTCCCTTTGCTTAAGCGTAGAGCAGTTTGTGGCAGCACGCGTCATTTTGCACACTTGCAATTGCGTCATCTAGAGGTGGGGGTACGAACCTGATGACCATAATTTTTCTGTACCCCCTTCCACCCTTCCGTTAGTTTCACGCTCCTTCTTTACGGTTCGGTAGTTTTCCTCTAAGTCTGATGGTCATCACGAAATAATGACATGCCCCGCTTCCTCTCTATACCGGTGGTTGATCGGATGACAGTTTATCTGTTCACCGAGCTTGGCAATTGGCTTGCAAACGTTTAATCCCCAGTCGAGGAGACATCGTCAGTGCGCAGTTGAATGGATTTGCTCAATAGTTTTACCTAAATATACTGACCAACCTCCACGATTCCCACCGTAATGACTGCTATAACCACAGTTTGCTGTCAGCTGTCATTCTTTTGTATGTACGCTCTATCTGAATGTTTTAATACTTGGCCAGTGGTTCACACTACCCCGTCTGCTGTTTTTAACAGTTCTCATGTAAATACGGATGTATTCCGTCACGAGTACAGATGTTCCTGCTTACTCCTTTCTGCCTTTGGGTATGCATGATGTGACTTAGCAGCGAAAGCCTACCCTGATCAATCCATCGCACTACACCAGATCCCACATAGGCCCTTTCCATGAAGAACCATTCAGTAATAGCCAGTAATGTAAAGCTGGGAGTGTCTGTATCTTTTCTGATGCGCATCAGAACAAAGTTAACCGGCGCTCGAAACTTACTGTAAATTAATGTCCAGAGGAGTCCGTCTATCAATATCGTTTGCCGAAATATTCCTGGTTTCTCAACGTTTGATAAGAGTACATATAAACAGCCAAACTACAAAGGTGCTGATCTTTACGGATTCATCTAGAAAAAAGCGTTACAAACAGATTTTAAAAAAAAGTAAAGGTCTAGTTGTTCGTTTGGGTGTCAAAAAGTATTCATTCGGTCCAAGCCCATATGCCTTTAATAGTAGTAGTAATAATGATAATGATCATTCAGCTGTAGCATCCTTTCGGTGCCTAGCTGCCATTCCCCCCAACCGGGTGGCCCAAGCCTAGATAGGAGGGATCAATATGCTGAGGCTGTGTATGAACCACATGTACTCATTTTATAGAGCATCACTAAAGGTAACTTGCTACACTGATAATTCATTAACCCATCTTACCTTTCAAGGAGTCGAATCACGGACCAGCCAATCATATGTCTGGATTTTATTTGACGACGTTTCGCCTCCCAAATCCTATTGAAATTCTTCTTCTTTTTCGGTTTAAACCACGATCCACGATGTCCAACGAATATGTCTCCTCCAATTCGAAAACCCAATGGGATCGCAAACAACTGAATCACCAGTATGGCATCATCATCTCCATAAGGCTTGGTTAGCTACAAAGCAAAAGCAAGATTCCATTTCATCATACTATACTGTCTTTCTGGTAGATTTGCAACTCAGCTCTGATGTTTTCAGCTAGAAGTAGACCCTCACAGGGGGTGGACTTCAGGGATTTGACACAGAGCAGTGACTTTGGCGTCGAGAACAAACGTTAGTGCGGTGCTAAACTCTGGACCAACTTTTCTATTTTTACAACTTCACCGTTTTATGTCCGTATTATCTCCCGTGTTCGCCGCAGACTTGTAGCTGGGGCGTGTGTTTCAGCACAGGATACGTATTTTATTATTTCGCCACTTACCAGTGAACCCCGACAATCAAAAAATGATATGATGCAGAAATAATCGCTTACAGTTGTTGCACATGTGACAGTAATCTTATCTATGTTGCCAGGTCTTCAAGTCTGGTTCATCCAACATAACCTCCGATCCGAGCAACCGGAACCTTCTGCAAGACAAACTTTCCAAGATGGACATCGGAGGTCACCTTCTGTTCTTCTCAAGCATTAACCATTCCAAACGACAGTTATACTTTCATACGAGCACATATTTGTCGTAAGCTGTCACATACATGTGTGGCCCTGTAGCAGGGAGTTGTTTTGTCACCGTCTGTTCATTTGCTACACAGGCTCCTCAGGACATGACGGACTGTGCACTTTTACGTAACTTTCAGGTGACGTTACTCTTGATAGAGCGTGTTTGTAAGAACCGTGCACCTGCTCATTCACAGAGAACATCGAAGGTGCATATCAACGGGTAAATGAGGCCCAAATCTATCCAACTGCATTTGGAGTTTGTTCACGTGGAGGCGAAGTAGATATTCTCGTACCAACTGTTGCCTTCTACCTAAAGTTAAATGCATACAGTATCTTACTGGAATGGTCTCACCTGAATTACAGTCGCATGAACGAGTTGGTCATATAGACATACTACACTACTCATAAGGCTCCTGGAAACTCTTCTACAGCTCATGGACATCACAAACGAGAGATTCATCTGGGTTGCAGGTGAGTCTGCCGTCAAAATCAAATTGGTGTGCTGATGGGTAAACAGGTCGCAGTGATAGTGTTATGTAGATAGTGTTATGTCATGAACAGCCCTCCTTCTCTTACTTCGTTTACCTGAAATAGTTCACTGGCCACTACTTTAACAGCTATGTTATAATCTTAAACGAATTGCTGGAAAGGACATCACCACCAAGTGGTTCCTATCAACTTCCAACTTAAACCTGGTTTGGCTTCCTAGTATCATAATCGAAGGAAATACAAATGACCGCGCAAATGAAACAGTAATTGGTGAGGATTCACCGTCATCCTCCACCTCATCATCAGGACAGCAACATCACTGTTCACACTGATACTTCACTGCTGTACAGCCGCAAAGTTTGTCTTATTATATTTAAAGCCTTGGAAGATAAACGAGTAAGTGAGGGAAGGGACTTGGCCTTAGTCAAGCATTCTTGGATGCATGTACCTCCAAACACTCAGTCAGGATCTGAAAGAAAGTGTCGTTTACTGGTTGATTTACATAATGCTGACTTCGGTTACTGACTCATTAACAGGCGTATATAGAATTGGTAAGGCTTCAGTCCATATGTATGATGAAATTGCCCCAGCCGGGTACTAAATGGGGCCCGTCGTAGACAATAGTCTATCGATATTCTTCCACACTATGTACAACACATTCAGAAGACATGAAAAACAAAATAAACCTTATTGAATATTCTCACAAAAAAGTCTCAGGGCATACTGTGGAAGTAAACCAATTGACTACAAGGATCTCCCAGAAGTCTCCAGCTCTTTCATTCAGATAAGCTCGAAAACAAACATTCAGACCAGCTGCTGTTCAAGTCAGAGATTGATTATCTCCTCTGGAGACCATGTCTACCTGATAAACCCCAAGAATGACGAAAAAGATAGCTAGCTGTCTTCAGTACCACTGCATCAATTGCATATGAAGCAGACTACTCAGAACTCCAGTAAGTAGCATAGAAACACAACAAACTCACTATTGCTTGGGACGTCCAGACAGGGTCAGACATGGGGTTTATCGGGTCCAGTTGGTAGAACAACAAATCATCGTCAGTGCCATAACCAAGCTCTCTGTTTTCCGAGAGTATTCTGGCGTCTGGACCTCGCATGACCTTCCCCAGTGCGAAGACAAAATCACCGGCTGAATGTTGGAGATATGTAAGACAGTCAAAAATCGTTGGTCATCTGGTTACATTCCTATGGACAACGTGTACCCCCTAGTTACGAACAGCGATTCAACGTGTACATGATATGTATAAAAATACCATTTACAAATAGATGCGTGATTCTTAGGTTTGCATTTACCAGAGCTGGACGTGGTTTTGACCATCTATCACTGCACAGAAATGTATGGATTTACAATCAATACTTTTTAAAATATCGCCTCTTCAGAGCTAACAGATGAAGCAGAATATATTGTGTTAACAACTTCTATCTGCATAGATGCTTTGCTTAGATGAAGCACAATATGGTGACCGCGATAAATAAACTCCATTTAAAAAGAATTAAACAGTCAGTTGTTGGGCGAATCAGCGATAGGCTAAGTGCACTGAAGAGAATGAACTCCGGAGCCACCAAGAGACAAGGTAAAATTGAGTCAGATGAACTGTTCAAATAAGTTGGGCAAATCAATCGCAGTCATCTCTGAAGCCAGGACAATTCAGACGCTGTGATAAGTCCACCACGAGTGCTTTCGCTGTGTTCACGCATTAAAGGCAATGAATAGGGCTTGGCTGACAATGGATGTGGGTAAACAGGTAGAACTGACGTGCAAAACCGATTATAACTGGTGCAGTTTTTGCCGATGGACCTACTCACTACTTAAAATGATACCTTACTGCTCAAATAAGGTTAGCACTCTGATCTTTGTGGTAATTTACTCAATAGCAGGAGTATTCAGTGGGATCTTCGTCCTCACATTAGAGGAATACACCCAAAGAAGCCACTTTTTAAGAGCCAACAATTTCAGAATGAAAATCTAATAACGCAGAAAAATCCTCTGACCCTCATGCAGCAAGCACTTTACCTGGAGACAGACTAATATGAGTAGGAGTCAGAGAAAATTGGCCGTTGATCTGTTCGCCAGGCTTGACAATTTTTTTGCAACTGAATTTCACCGCATTACCAATTACTGAGTACAACCCACCCTGAATAAAATGAACGGTCGCCGTGACAGTTGGGCGACGATGACTGAAGGTTTTGTGCTTTAGCAAAATGATCAAGGTCGTGAGTCTTGTAAAAGTGGGACATAGCACAGGGTACACATACGTTAGTAAACGTTTTAAATCAAATAGGGTAACAAGAAATAAAGAAACTGACAAGAGGGAAGTGGTCCACACGGAGACCCGGGACCATCGACCAGTGGCTTGATCGACATCAGAAAAAGCTCCAGCATTCTATCTTTATTGACATTTTTTCAAAAGGTATCGACGGTGTATTGACTGGTTGTTTCTGACGTCACGTACAATCTTACAGTGGTTAGCGGGTAACCTTGTCCCATTCTAGCTCCGTTTTGCCTCCAACAAGGAAACAGAAATCTCAAAGTGCGAGTACTTTTCAATGGTATTTCTCACTTATGAGGATCTGCGTTTTGCAATAGAGAACTAATCAGACTGTGGTAAAGAACTGACAGCGGAACGGTACAATCGATAACTTACGTTTTATTGATAGATGAGTTGCCTTCAGCACGGACAACTCAAACCCAGCACGATGGTGATAGCGGAATGGCAGGATGGTTGTTGCTTGAACGGGGTCGTCTGTGCTCAATTCCTCGAGCACAAACTCTCTCATTTCGCTTTCCGAAGGTATGTCTGTTTTGTACAGTGACAAAAGGAAGGACGCCCCCATAATACGTATGTGGACTTAATAGGATTGTTGATGCCAAGTAGATCAACGGGATACTATTCCCGCGGTGGTTTATGAATAATGGCCCCTTTCTCTTTTTTGGATGGGATAGTTTTTATAAGCAACAAAAACTGATGGAAGGCAAGGAACCAATAACAACCCTAGGCTATGGTGTTAACTATTCAGTGAAACAACGGACTCTCAAGCGCTGGCTGCCAGTAGTCGAATACAAGAGTTGTACATCACGAAGAGCAATCACATGGTCAACTTTGCGTCTCTACTTTACACTTTTCAGGAAAACCATTGTCCTCGTGCGCTGGCGAACATGGCCACTCTCTTGCAGGCTAATAAATTAACTAGATGATTCTACGGCTTCAAGAACGAGCTACACTTAGACGAAATACCGACCGCGTATTGTCGTTACGTCATCTATACTCCGTGAGGGCGGAATTATCCAAGGTGCTCTACTAAAGAAAATTAGTATTCTCTTCAACTCAAAATCAAATTTGCCTTGTCTCATATGGTTTAAGTAGTCAGCCGTTTTCATTTTAGTACACAAAAAGACAGTTTTCATGGCTAAAAATGTGTGAACCAGAAAGCATTGTGATTTCGTTTCAAAGTTAGGTTTGTTCAAATGCGTAAACTTTGGTTGGCAGCAATAACAAAGCACAAAACTCTGGTTTGCAGCGTAGAGTAAACATTCAAACAAAAGTGGCCAAAAAGTACAGAAATACTCCAGTGAAAACGAGTAAGCGACAACCGATTACTTTATTCGCACAAGGCAAACATCAGTCCTTGACACAAAATTCTGAATGAGAATGCTCCCTAGGAACCTCCAACGACCAGACAGCAACAAGGTCAACAAATTCTCAAACCACCTAACGAAGACAACTAGCGTTCACCTTGAAGACGAACAGCTCTTCCTACATATTCGAAGTTTTTGTAACAAAATAAGCCCCATCAACAGCAAAGATAGCAACATCAATGCTGACACTGATGTTTCACTGCCTACAACCATAAAATTCATCTTATTTAGTCTTCCAACGACCAGACAGCAACAAGGTCAACAAATTCTCAAACCACCTAACGAAGACAACTAGCGTTCACCTTGAAGACGAACAGCTCTTCCTACATATTCGAAGTTTTTGTAACAAAATAAGCCCCATCAACAGCAAAGATAGCAACATCAATGCTGACACTGATGTTTCACTGCCTACAACCATAAAATTCATCTAAATATATTTAGTCTTAAAATGGGAAGAAGAAAGAAGGCTAGGTGAAGGAGACGACCTGATGCTGGCCTGTTGTAAGCGTTCTAAAGTGCATACCCCTCGAAGCGCTCAGTCAGATACTCTATAACAAATTCACAGCACGAAAGCCATTGATATTAATCAGGTACCATTTCTTTCAATGTCCCTCATCGGACATGGGGGTGGTCACGGAGACCCCATCTTGGAAGGCAGGCTGCACCAACAAAACCTCAACTTCTCGTAATCCTTTCTGCTAAGTCAAACATTGTTCACCCCGTTGTCTGTGTCACGGAGAACAACAACGATAGACCCCGTTTTGGCATGCCACATGACCTACATGGCTGAACCACCGAAGTTGATAGTAATGGATATTTTCCTACTGCAAAATTAAATACCCGTTTTCTAATAACCCCCTATTGATTTGTTTGACGCCACCCTACACCAGCAACTTTTATGAAGCACCGGTGTTCAAAAGCCAGAAGACGTCTCACTTTATCTGTCCGCAGAGGCCACGTCTCGCAACGATTCAACAACACTGCCTTTTTCTGTAGTCTGATAGACAGGGCCGTCGAATCTCAATGATATAGCATTTTGACGCCATAAGTGACGCAAAGCAGCGGCCGTGATTCGGACTTCTGAGATTTAAGCACTGATTGTGTCATAACACTTTCGTCAGAGCTAATTCAACTACAGAAGTATGTAAAATTTACCATAACCTCCAATGATTCTACTTGATGTGTAAGGGGTTAGTTTAGAGACTGTGTATTATGAATCATGGCTTTGCACTTTGACGGTGTAAGACGCAGGCCCAAAGATGGTATGATACTCAAAAGAGCCTTTGCTTCGCCTTGGTCTTCTAAAGTTAGGCGATGTTGTCTGCATACTCTAGATCAACAAGGTCCTCACCAGCAACAATTTGAACACCGAAGTTTTAAAGACCTTTGAGTGTTCGCTTCAGTTTTTAATCAGTGACGAAGTTGAACTTGAATGGAGACAGTGGACATCCTTGTCGAACACCGCTTCTTGTATGGAAACTTTTGGAGAGTTCACCATATATTCTCACACGCCCAGAGGCAGCTGAATGTAGGGCGGAATAATATCCACAAACCTCTCGACCATCCCTTGTTGAGCTAGTGTAGTTAACAACACTGACCAATCGACAGAAGCGAACTCACTTTTGGAGTTAAGGAACACTAAGTTTGTGGGTCGTCTGTTCATATGGCATTGCTCAAACGCTTGAAGAAGTCAGGAAATGGTCGACGATATCTCCACACACCATCTCTCACAGTCCAAAGATTCACGTGGTGTAGTGAGAGGACGAAGAATCAGTGATACCAGAATCCTTTTCACAACAGGAGTCCAACTAACACATCTGTGGCTAATGCGAGTACCCTGTTGCCTGAAAGGGTCGCTTTCTTCCGGATGGACACATATAAACTGTGCAAGAACTGGCCTTGGACTTTACTGAGCAGAGCAGGTGCAAGGTCGTCAGGACCGGTGGCATGGTGACGACTAAGTAGTGAATTACACACATATACTTATGAGGTTGAAACGGACTCTACATTCACGGTCCACCTTTCTTTTGAAGACCAGGATTCTGGATTTGTGTTCGGAGGTAGCTAAATGAACTGCTGTGCCCGGTGGTCCAAGCGTTCTCCATTGCTACGTGTAAAGTTCGTTTTGGTTTCCGATACTTTCGCCGGCAATAAGCTTCCAAAACCCCCTCAAAAGAATGAGGTGGAACAGCCTGAGGACGTTTCCATAAATTTTCGCACCCTCCATTTTTTTATCCATTTGGGTGCACGAAACGCCGCTTGATTCCTCAGGTTGAGTTGTGGTTGTGGCCAAAAGGATTCTGTCGCTGCTCCCATCGGTCAACCAGTGTTTAAATGAAGTTGGTTGGATAGTTCAACAAACATAATTTCCTACTTTGAGTAGCAATTTGGATATCTATTCTCAATGGCCAATAATATCCGACATTTGACTATCCGGCAGGAGTTCGAGCAGCCGGTTCTGATAGGTTCGCTAGACTTCTGGGTCCGCCAGCTCCCTAATGGCTAAGTAAGGTGTGCGCGTTTTGCGTGGACCTGAAAAGCGCAGTGAAAAGCAACAACACACAGGTGCACGTTTGGAATCCGCGCAGGTATTTCAGAAGAAGCGGTAGGCAGGAGTCGACCCTCACCACTGGTAACTGATGGCGATGTGGTCGATTTGGATCCGGGACTGATTCATTTGTGGGCACAACGTCATCAAGCGATTCTGCTGTTCCCGAACTTGGTCTTGCAACCGAACAGTCTGCGGTCGACACACTTCTGAAGTAGACGATCATCGTTGTCTTTCCATCTCGTATCCAAGCCAAGACGACCACCCAATTGGGCCTTAGCAACGCTTAGTCTACCTACCTGGGCGCTAATTTAGCCACCAACCAGTCCATCGTAAAAGAGAACCTAGAGCATCAAAGAAACTATCTTTGGCAGATTCAGAACTATGGTCCGTTGGAGCGTAAACTGACACAATACACAGTGTCCGACGGGGCCCACTTCCTCGAGATCCTCTCCCAGATGTCAAGCGAACCGCACAGAAGCGACTAACAATGGGTATCTAATCGAGTGAAGACCCAACAGCAGCTATTGAATTATTCATCCAATCAAATGTCTACTGATGAGTAGTCAGACTTTTATTCAACTAGCCATCGAACGTCCCACAGGACCCGGTGAGTGGCCGAAATGGAGTAGGATTTGGCAGTCAGTGGAAGCCTGTGCATCATAAGAAGTCAAAGGCAGCTTGCAAGGACTCCCACGTGGTGCTGTGTGAAAGCTCTTGACACCGATGTAAACCCAAGGCAATAAGAACAGTGCATGTGCGTGCAGAAGCCCGCTGTAAGCAGGCTGTCAACCCTCCTACACACGACCTATGGATGGGCATCAGCACCGACACCACTTATTCCTACTGTCAAGATACGGGCATCATCAGTCGATTTCTTCAAGTTTCATTGCACTATCGCACCTTTTCCAGTATGACATCGTGATGTCCATTAGCACAACGTGAAATCGGCAGCGGACTATCCGGTAGTAGCATTTCATCAAGGTTACCGTTAGTGACATTGTCATCCTTAGGATCACAATGTCGAGGAGGAAGTCATTAGGAAATGAAACGAGCTTATTTAGTTACCATATACTACAAGTTCCGAATATTACCAAACCATCGGGTTGGAATTTCCCTGCGCAGCTAGGAGTGCCCTCAGATTCGGAAAGCTCAGTTCGATAACTGAAGAAACTGGTTGGCTAATAAGTGGTCCAGGCTGAAACCATTAACACAAGAGTCACGTGTCGGATCCACCTAAACTCGGCTGACGATTAGCAATTAAGGTGGATATGTTAACTTCCTAGGATTTAAGCACACCCACGCTGTATTGCTAGAAAGTAGTCACAACGCAACCAGCTTCATGATTAGCATTCAATCGTTTTACCTGACATCACTTCATAAGTGTAGACAAGCTGTGATCAAAAGTAAGGCCAATAGGCGGGTGGTGTTCAGGTCGACAACCTGGCCCCTGAACAAGTGGTGACTCATTTGAATAGCCCCACTCGCTAATAAACGCTGTATAGACTGATTTTTCAGGGTTGATCAGGTCTAGTTTATGATGTGAACTCGTTATTCCGGGATCACCAAGTTAGTTTCTCCTGATGCACTCAGCTATGCATCCCACCTTATGCTCCCACCCTCAGATTATCCGTAAGCGCGCCCCTTTAACTACTCTGGACATACTTCGACTTCGGTTAGTTTCTATGACCACATTAAAACTCGCGTTCACAAATGTCATTCGAAAAGGGCGTCAAGGTCAACCCAATCAGCCGAAAACTTTTCTGTCCATCACACATTGTATTTTAACTTTGGTTGAAGATTTTGAGATGCGCAGATAAGTTTTTCTGCCACTAATCCTCTTCGCAATGCGTCCATGAGCAAATTTTGAGGCACTCACCTGGACTGAATGTCCACTGCTTTCGTCGGTGCTGCTTTTGTACGTATTCATAGAAACATGTAGTCTGTGGCTCGGACTCAAATAGGTGATAGATCTCCCATTCCATTTCTGTCGGTTCAGCTTCAATCGACCGATAGTTTCGTTCGCGATAAGCAGCTGCCTCAATTGGTTCCTGGGTAGCAAGAGATGTTTTGAGGAGCGCACTTACAACAGAACTATATAAAACTTGTATTATCGTTCAACGGGATAATTCCACTTTAGTTTTGTTCTGCATATTTTTCTCGTGTTTACCAGTTAGCTTCCACACTGAGAAGGAAACGACAAGAAGTGTATGCTGTGGGGTTTGCGGGATGTGTATTGCTCACATTCATATCACTTTCGTTTGAAAGGTCGTTCTCTTGACCTGGCGCAACTATTCCGGTGAATCCACACCAAAGGGGGGAAGCACTGGACTCGAGTTTCGCTCTTATTGGAGCTCATCAGCAGTGCACATCCAATGACCGTGCCGGGGTTTGAACTCCGGACACCTGACATACGAGGCGAACGTGTTCACGCTTGAGCGACGTGATTGGTATACCTGACTCATCATCGATATGACGACCCAGTAACTGTCCCAGTTTCGATGACCGATTAGCCCCCACAAGCTGAACACGTTCGCCCGATCAGACGTGAGAATTCAGAGAATTCAGATGCGTCCAATGTGCGTTGGTGGGATGGAGATAACGCGTTCTTCTGGCATGCCAGGTGTCCGGAGTACAAACCCCGGCAAGACCATTGGATATGCCCTGCTGGCGAGCTCTAATAAGAGCGAATCCCGAGTCCACTTCTTCCCCCGACCCTTTGATGTGGATACACCAGAATAACTGAAGGATAACTGTTCAAACGGGAGTGATGGATGTCCGAGGCTCTTAGCTACAAAACCTTCACGACTGAAGTACAACATTTTGCGTTAAAATGTTGCATTTTGTTGTGTGTGCTCAAATCAAACAACACCATAATATACGCTCATATTTTCGCCGCTCACCAAATCCTATTGTCCACTGGAGCAATCGTACCTTTGGCGGAAAGGTCTGGTGGAATAATTACCCAGAATCGCTGAGACCCCGGGATACCTAAATGGGGCTCATAAGTTTGGACCGGCACCCTGAACTCAACTGCTCGAGTGCTTTGGTCCATCAGAGACACGTAAAAGCTTTTCAAAATTCAAATCCACTGTGCGAATACCGAGCGCCAGATTGATGTGAAAAAGTGACAAGTGTCTTCATTCACCTGGTTACTAGGCTAGTAATGTAAAATTACCAGTTGAAAGGTCAAGTGAAGGAATCACTACGATATCCAAAGAGTGCTGATGTTCTAACGTGGCTAAGACTCCCGCTACATCCAACTGGTGTACACAGAACGCTTTGATGAACTTCGTAGATTCCGTTTTCAGACACAACCCCATTCGGTTTTCACTTATTGACTGACGACTCCTTTTCCCTGTCTGGTTCTGATCATATCTTTCTTCGAGATGATGAAGAACTAAGAAGACGTATCTGGTGATGGAACTTCGAAGGAACCACTCCGAACCTTTTAAACGGTGGTTACGGGAGTTCTTGGGAATACACTTCTTCAAGGAAAAACTTCGGCAACGGAAAAGAATAACCGTTGTATTACATTCTCGTATTCGGCAACCTGGATTTGCGGTAGCACGCCCGACTCACATGTCAAATGTCAGAAGTTCAAGGCCCGGCACAGCCAAGGATATACGCTGCTAATGAGCTTTGATTGGAGCAGAACTCGAGTTCAGTGCTTTTCCCCACTTTGATATGCACTCATGAGAATTAAGCCTCGAATTCTTTAACTAGGTAGATTAACTAATTTTGTTGTTGTGCTCTTGACTGAGAGGTTGAAGCTGGCATACTTCGAGTCAGTCTAAATTAAAAGTCACTCAGGGCAACCATCCTTCGTCTTTGACAGACCTGTGCCTGCCAGCCGAACGTCGTTTCGACATTCGCTTTGGATTTAAATGACTTGGCTTGAAAAAGCACCGAGGTACACACAATACCAACAGGAAGATTGAACCCCTGTCCAGGACTCGAACCAGAAGTCCTTCACTCGCCAGAGAAATGGCTTGCCAGATGAGCCCTCGGAGAAGCCGGAAGAAATCGCTCATAGGCAATTGGCCGCAACCGTTTCGACGAGAATAAAAAAAATATTGTCTGTGAATGTTATTAGTGGATTGCTACGGGAAGTTCACGTTCGCTTTCCTTCGAATTAGGTGCATTTTTAGAGTGAATTTTGGAGCATATCTAACGGTGAGCTTGCGCGATAAAGTTGATTCTAAAATCCTTGAAGAAATCCACTGTTTTTAGACACAATTTGACGGGGGGGGGGTAAAATCAACTCATTTTGTAAATGACATTTGAGAATAGGGCGCATTGTGATGGAGAGTGCATGTTGCACCAAATGTGACGTACCTCTGTGTAGGGAAGCAAACGTAGGCAGATAGTGGCACAAGGGATGAAAGTAGTCGCCTCCAATTCGTCCTTCCAGTAGATCGTTTTGGCATCATACGCTTGAAGATGTTCTGGGATTCGACAGCATAAGCGCTTTTGATGTCCACCAAGATGAAGAATACCCTGATACGTCGGTAAAAAAAAAGCAAAGCCAAACTGATTCAGCTCTTTCAGACACGGAGGGCTAAGGTAAAGTAATTCGACAGAAATTCACTTCATAATCAAAAAGAGAATTTTCGGGCTTGTTGTGACAATGGTTGCACAGTTTAACGTATTTCCCGCGTTTAATCACCATTTGAAAACGCGCAGTAACAAGATCAAATAATAAATTTACTTTTCAATGATAATAAGGGTCCGTTCGATGGTACTTGAGGATCCTCGGCAAGCTTCCCCATAAATTTGGAGAAGATTCCCTCAGCAAGTAAATATTTTCTATCCCTTAAAGATTGCGACCGAAATTTCATTGCTCCTCAGCTTAGCGTATCTGATTTACCTAACGGAAAATTAGCTGCTCTGGTGACGAATAGTAGTAGCTCGGGTTGTGTAGGTGGTCTGTGTCCTGTTTGCTGTGCCTGCAAACGTTTCGTCACCAACCCAGACGACGTCATCAGTGCGTATTAAGTTTGCCGCGCCTCGTACTACGTTGTACCGGCGCACCAAATGTACTGCATCACAAATTAACGCAATGCTTTGGAATATGTCTATAAACGTGTCTCGATTAACCATTCACTTCTATTCTAGCTTCGTCCCAAGAGCGTTAAATATGATTATGCTCACCGCTTTGTTGGATTTTATTAAACTATATTGGATTTCCTGCTTAAAATTTGATCTGTGAATCCGTTATTATTAACATACACAGATAGACAGATAGATAGATACATAGTTTAACTGGTTGCCTGATCTGTTGATGGATTGATAGATAGAATGCTCCATTGACTGACTGATTGACTGACGGACTGGTTGATCGATCGGTCGATTGATTGATTGATTGACTGAATGAATGATTGATTGTTGATTGATTGATTGATTGATTGATTGTGATATTGTATCCAACTGCCTTCCGGGATACGCCTAGCAATAAAGAAAATACTGTTCTCAACTTGATGCAACTGAAGGTGAAGAAATTTATTCCTCTTTTCCACACGTAACGCAATCCTTACCTGGTCATCAAACAGCCGCATTAGGACATTTCCAACGATGCAAACTTTTCCATCCGTGATCCGCTTAGTGTAGATCTGTAGGAACAGCAGGGAGTTCACCGATAGGGCTTTCTCCTTTTCCACCTGCACCACTATTCTGTCTTTTGTTCGAAACAATGGAGATCGTATCAGAGATCCTGGTGTGTGGTGAGTTTGCCGTTCTCCCTTTGGGATCAGTGGCGAACCAATCGTCATATCAGGAACCACCAGAATATCGGGCATTTCTGAATCCCAGCCAGTATTCAATAACGTGCCAGTCACCTTAAATAGGTGACAAAAAATAAAACTTGGTCAACTATCAACCATCAACTACCATCATTCAAGAGTAGAGAAATTCAAATACTATGCAAAACGCAGACCAAACTCACACAGTTCGTTGGGTCCTCTGTTAAGTAGGTTTCCTGTGACACTCAGCCCATATCACGCAATCACGACAAAAAATGTCCTGAGTGAGTCTCTATTCAAAAATGGAAGTGTGCTAACCTTGTGGTTTTTCTGTGAAAGTTAGACAAACACTAGTAGTTAGTGAGTGCGAGGAGATGAATAGTAAATGAGCCGGTCAATTTTCACTAATAATTCCAATTATGACAGATTGTTAAATATGTGTGACGCCTCACCTGAAAGGAACACTATATTCTTAAGCTTACTCATATCATTCACAATAGAGTACCCGAGGGTAGCTAAACCGGATCAGTGTGGTGCAGAAATCATACATCAAGATGCTACTCCGCCTCGGGAAGAAACATTCGTGTCGAGGGACATTTCCGCATGCGTTTTCAAAAGCAGTGTACTGGGTAACTGCTTTCAATGCTGATCCTAAACGGTGTTGTGGCCCTGTTATATGCTAAGGCTGCTGTTGATGTCCGAAGAATAACAAATTGTCCCGTAAATATCCTAATAACAAGGATCACGAGCAGTCGCTCTGAGAGGGTAGACTGAGTAGAGATGCCATGTGTATTATTTGGTCCAAAGCTTAACCCTACTCACAAGTGTCAGTGCATGCCACTGAGGGCACTAAGCTACTCCATTAACCGGAGAGTTGTTGCGCTTCAGCCTGCCACAAATGTTTGTGTAACCCAGTCCAAAATTCATTAGTACATTCATGCATGTAAACGCTTGATTGAGCCGCCGCTTACAACAACGATATGTTGTCACCAGCCAGAAGGAATATGAGTTGAAATGGAGTTGTTTGGAGGGCGAACAAACCCACTTTGGGGTAAGTACGAGTAAGTTCGGCCAAGTACTGTTTTACGGGTATAGAAGGTTTTGCACAATTGTCAAATTTTTGCAGGCTATGGTTGAAATATTATTTTTAAAACAATCGGAGTTCAACGAGTTGAGACTTTGACTGAAGATACGCGAGTAAGATTGCACAAAACACAAAACGGATCCTAGAAGTATTCGTAGCTATAATTGACTATCCTGGACACCACCGTCCCTGTCGAGACGGTTTTGTATTAAACCTGGAACTGTAAAGTGTACCAAACTAGCTATACTCTATTTGTCTATCTATCTATCCATCTATCTATCTATCTATCTATCTATCTATCTATCTATCTATCTATCTATCTATCTATCTATCTATCTATCTATCTATCTATCTATCTATCTATCTATCTATCTATCTATCTATCTATCTATCTATCTATCTATCTATCTATCTATCTATCTATCTATCTATCTATCTATCTATCTATCTATCTATCTATCTATCTATCTATCTATCTATCTATCTATCTATCTATCTATCTATCTATCTATCTATCTATCTATCTATCTATCTATCTATCTATCTATCTATCTATCTATCTATCTATCTATCTATCTATCTATCTATCTATCTATCTATCTATCTATCTATCTATCTATCTATCTATCTATCTATCTATCTATCTATCTATCTATCTATCTATCTATCTATCTATCTATCTATCTATCTATCTATCTATCTATCTATCTATCTATCTATCTATCTATCTATCTATCTATCTATCTATCTATCTATCTATCTATCTATCTATCTATCTATCTATCTATCTATCTATCTATCTATCTATCTATCTATCTATCTATCTATCTATCTATCTATCTATCTATCTATCTATCTATCTATCTATCTATCTATCTATCTATCTATCTATCTATCTATCTATCTATCTATCTATCTATCTATCTATCTATCTATCTATCTATCTATCTATCTATCTATCTATCTATCTATCTATCTATCTATCTATCTATCTATCTATCTATCTATCTATCTATCTATCTATCTATCTATCTATCTATCTATCTATCTATCTATCTATCTATCTATCTATCTATCTATCTATCTATCTATCTATCTATCTATCTATCTATCTATCTATCTATCTATCTATCTATCTATCTATCTATCTATCTATCTATCTATCTATCTATCTATCTATCTATCTATCTATCTATCTATCTATCTATCTATCTATCTATCTATCTATCTATCTATCTATCTATCTATCTATCTATCTATCTATCTATCTATCTATCTATCTATCTATCTATCTATCTATCTATCTATCTATCTATCTATCTATCTATCTATCTATCTATCTATCTATCTATCTATCTATCTATCTATCTATCTATCTATCTATCTATCTATCTATCTATCTATCTATCTATCTATCTATCTATCTATCTATCTATCTATCTATCTATCTATCTATCTATCTATCTATCTATCTATCTATCTATCTATCTATCTATCTATCTATCTATCTATCTATCTATCTATCTATCTATCTATCTATCTATCTATCTATCTATCTATCCTATCTATCTATCTATCTATCTATATATCTACCCACCCACCCACCTACCCGTTTCTCTGTATGTCCGTCTGCTCATCCATTGTCCTACTTGCCAACTTACTTATCGTACTGTTTGTGGGATCCCAGCCACATTTCCCCGCTGTCAGTCATCCGCACTCACAAACTCTTGGGCCTTCTCCGGAATTTTCTTTGCCGCTTGGATAACCTACGGTATTTAGATCAGATTCTAGCACTTGGTAACCTTCTTACTCTACTCAACACAACTACCCCCTCATTGGGGAAATTAATCCTTGAAGGAAATTTCATTAAAAAGATATCCAAAGCTTCCAACCAGGATCGCCATCCGGTCGAGTCTGGTTAATCACGGTTGAACTGAGAAGATTTATTACCTTGACTGACTACAGCTGGTTTATTGTCGCATTCGCGTGATTTTCGGTGGTGTACTATTCACCGCCTGACAGTGTGTGGCCTGAGGCTTCAGATATCGGTGAACTTTTGTAGGAATTGTAACTCATGGTAGTGCTTGCGTAAAACGACCTGGTGAAAATGCTTCTGATATGATGATTATCACGAGAAACACACATGAACCAAAGTATGCTTAAGGTCATCTTGTTTTCACGACTTCAATATGGCCTCACAGAAAAAAATCATTCTCAAAATCTTTCCAAGTTATCTCAGAAACTCTTTCAGACGCTTCCCTATTTCATGTGTCGGACTGTGTGTATGTAATATAGTCTATTATTAAAATGAATTCCTTAAAGGATGGAGAACCAACTTCAAGCAAAGCAGAGCATTTAACTTCTCATCGAAACGCACCAGACTTGGTTAACCCTAGTTTAGTTTCTCCCATAAGCATAACCAACTTCCTAGGGTAGTGAAATTAGACGAGACGTGCATGGAACTGCACTTTAAGAGTAGAAGTCGGCACACACGATTCCCATTCAATAGGTGTTATCAGCCCATGAAAGTGACGTGCACGAATGAGGTGATGAATTCTAGTGTGACTTGTACCGCGCAACACAGTGTTATTTATTTTCACCTTACGCCATATTGTCTTATCTACTATAATGTGTCTGCAAGTCTGGGAACTGACTTCGTTAACTGGACCCTGATAAGGCCTGATGTGATTAGAAGGCCTAAGCACGTCTCTGACTCGTCTAAACTCTTCTTCACTCATACCGAAAGCATCAAGTAATCAAATTGTAAACCCTCCAAGCAAACTGAGAAACGATGCAGGTTGCAATGTGCACAACAGCTGGTGTCTTGCAACCACTCTAGCTGCCCACAAGCACTATGCACAATTTGTGCGTGGGACGGCCATCCGTTCATAAATCCCAAGAGCAGTCAGTCCATACTGCTGTTGTGACGCAACAGAATCCTACATCTTCTAGGATGCTGTTCATCAGTAACTGTTGGCAGCCTAGTTAGTCAAGCTTTTGCATATCAGTGTAGATCGATATGTGTGTAACTGGAAGACACTCGGGGGGGGGGCAAATTAAGCAGCGATTGTATGACGGGAATCAGGACTATTTTAATCGAGCCTTCCTTTTGAAAAGAAATCAGTCTACACCGAAAAGTCAAGAGGCACTTCATAATTTGTTCACAATTCACAATTCCAGTGGATTGTTCATCCGAAAAGTCGTCAGCCAAGGGGCTGGTCAACACGTGACCACGTGATGTGAATTCCGTGACAGAAGGATGATTGGCGCTGTATTATGTCTAAGTTAAATTTCGAATGAAACAGTATGAAGTCAAAGGTTATGAGAAGGAGATTGTTGGCTTCATTGTTTCACTCACAATGCCAAAAAGCATCAATTTTACATCATAAACAGGAACAATAGCGAGTTAATAACACTGTCGATTACTAGCCGTTAGGTCGCGAGTTCCAGTCTCCTGGAGCTTCGTGAGATACGCGCTGCTAGTGGTTCTTAATCACCCTGAAACGATCGAGCAGAGCACTTCTCTGCTTTTTCGTAAAGACCGACTTCTTCTGCAGGATGAAATTTCGGCCGAACAGATGAAATTGTCCGAGTTCTTTCGAATTCAGCAGCATACGAGTTAACTTACGTGCTACCCTCAGTTTTCACTTTCCCGCAGTCTTCTTCGCTGCAGGGTACTCGTGACACTTCAAAGTGCGGAGTGAAATCATTTTCCATGTTCTATAATGACGAAATGTGACAAATAGCATCAGGATCGACTGGGCATCGAAACAATTTGGGTCTGGTCAAGATAGTAGGTCTCACCGAAAGCCAAGGGACAAATGAGTGATTTTGGGGTTTTTGCGGGATAGGTATGTTTGTTCAAAATTGCAACCAAAATTCTGCCCAGTGGGTTTCAAGAGTGTGTCACGCTACCTAACTGGGAAGTCCTGACTGGCGGGTCAATCGATCGTCACAACCAGGACAGTTACTGGGTCATCGTTCGATGAGTCGGGCACACCAATCACATCGCTCAAGTGTGAACACGTTTCGCTTGTTCAGACATGATAATTCAGATGCGTCCAACGTGTGTTGGTGTAGTAGTGGTTACACGCTCGCCTCGCATGTCAGATGTCCGGGGTTCAAATCCCGGCACGCCATTGGCTATACACTGCTGATGAGCTCTAATAAGAGCGAAACTCGAGTCCAGTGCTTCCCTTTGGTGTGGACTGGCCAGAACACTAACGCCAGTACAGGAACACGGCCGTTCAAACGAGAGTGGTGTGGCTATGAACAAATGAGTAAGTGAGCCAGGGGGGCAGACTGGTAGAGATTATGGGATAAATGGCTGTTCCCACTTTTCCGGCCGATTCTCCGCGTTTCCAGTCGAACCGGTTAGAATATTTTGGTTCTCAGTCGATTTTGTTACCGGTCCTAAAAAAGTGCGGTTTTGTAGAACAGTATTATCCGACAGTTTCTGGGTGGACAAGTCCCGCATTGTGAAAGAGCTGCATTCATTCATACACAATTCTTAATCGGTTTTCTAATGTGTCGGGTGCCTACCAAACACACAGACCGTAGCTTAAACTAAACTAAATCGTTCTGACCACAGGGAAGCAAGGCCACACGAATGTTGAAGTCCCAAGAACATTGGTTCCATCCATATAACTATCGAGCTTTGTGCACCGTAAAGTCTTGCCTTGTTTGAGACGTAAAGATAATGCCAGCATCCTCTAGACTTTAATTTGAACCAACGTTCTACTGTTTTCACATTATCTTAGATAAAGAAATAGATGACTAGAGTTCCTCTCATTCCGCCTGAGCAGTATTCTCGTAAGCTAGATCCCAATTTATTCTCACAAAGCAGGTGCATTCGGTAACACCTCTGCCAGTGCACACATTTAATTTCAACAAGAATGAATGTGTTTGCGTTACAGTGATACATGTAATCATTCAAACGCACTACTTACAAACTCAAGTAGCATTGGATTTGAAGATTGGTTGTGCCTTTTTAATCTGAATTAAGCTGCAAAACTTAAAAAAAGGCTGACGTGAGTATGAAATTTCAAAGACAAAACAACTTACGTCGAAACTACGTTTCACGAATATCCTCCACGCTCTAAATAGCATTTGGTATGAAGTGAAAGTTGAAATTCAACTTAATTAGGTGGTCAGTTCATAGTTTTAATTTAAATCCGTTTGTGGTAATATATCAGCCCCCAATTTTTGAAGCTTCCTAAATCGTCAGGGTCTTACGGAGAATAGAAATAAATCGAATAAGCGTACAACGAGCTTGCTGCAGGTTAATTCACTTGATTCACATATTCAGTTCGAATTTATTCACCTTATAAACGGAACAGTAGTCCGGCATGAATCGAAGTTGATCAATGTAGATGCAAAACGGTTCAGAGTGAAGAGATGGTCGCATTTCTCGTTCCCCCAAAGTAGGCTTCCTGTACGCAACCCAGCACTCATCTAGTGGAGTCACAGGTGGACTTCTACAAACAAAATGAAAAAAAAGAAAATAATCTATCTTTGGTCCGGTGTTTTCAGGAAGTGCATCTAAATCCCGGTTGGAACTAAGACTTGCATGATCGTAACTAGCCCACCGGAGCAGAAGCACTTTTTTAACTGGACCATCTATTTTCATCATTTGGTTTCTTGCGGCTAGTCCGCCAAATTTTTGGCCATATTTTTCCCCTGTCTTTAAAGTGATCATCAACTTAAATTTACGATCCCTTTGGTCATTCGGTTCCGAACTAGCTTGCATAGCAACTGAAGTATCGTTGCTATATTGACCGAGGTCAGGAAGATGAGTCCAAATCTGAGACAAATTTCAGTCCTTTCAGCTGAAACTTTGCAACCCAACGGAATCCTGTTGCCTAGAGGTAGAAGTTTTTCAAGCAGGGACACTACAGAATGGGGAAAGATGCTAACCCTGTGTCGAGTGAAAATTAACAAGTTGAAACGGAGAGTCCGAGATTTCTATCACTGAAAGTACGGACGGTCGATGAACTACAGAATTTTTACTGGAGGACTTTCCAGGAATGTTTTAATGGTATTTATAACACAATGGCTTTTTTGCTTACTTAAATCTCCATTGGATAACCAGTTCCATGTACCGCTCTTTCCACACCCATTTTCTCATACCAACCGGAGTTTCCGGATCTGTAAACGTCTTTCTCATGGCGGAAGGGCATACGTTTTGGTGTTGCCCACGCAATAAACGTGGGAGATTTTCGGACGATTTTTCAGAAGTTAAGTGTTTTGTACAGACAGTATCCTTTTCTTTTCTTTATTCAATCACATCATCATCATCATTTTCAGCTGTAATAACCGAGTACTCATCGTGCAGTGGTTGTAACTGCCGAAGTTTCGTTGACCAATGAATTGAGCGGGTAGGTAGCTGCACGTTGCAGGCGGGAGATGATAAATTGGTGCATAGATCAAGCCCTGTCAAAGGGCTGTCGAATGGGGGGACTGGAAAATGAGTTATGCATTGAAGGCAATAGCTTGAATGCATGAGCGCCATTGAGGACACGGCTGGGTCATGTCTGACAATGTCTCTAACCACTGATGTGGCCCGTCTCGGGGTCCCCATCCAGGAAGATGGCAATGACCAGCGCAGCTGAGTTTGCTGGTAATGGCCTTCATACTTCGCTGCCAAGTCATTGTTTGACCGCCTCTGGCTCTCTTCCACCCTTCACGTGGTTGTGCGAAAAGAGCCCTTCGAGGAATTCGGTCGGCTGGCATACGCAGCACGTGGCCAAGCCAGCGCAACCTATGAAGTGTGATCAGTTCATCTATCAAGGGTAAGTTATTTCTCTCGAATACCATTCGATGTACTTCAGAATTGCTGATCCAGTGCAGGGCAATGCTCCGAAGACATCGATGATCAAACACTGAAAGTCTTTTGACGTCCTCAGCGTGCCGCGGCCGGTTTTCTGATCCATATAGTAACATGGAGCGCACAGTAGCATTGTAAACTCGATGCTTGACAGAGAAGCTGATATCACACCTACGCCACAGGTACGCAGGTACACAAAGGCTGCTCTGTACTCAGTTAACGAGAATTGGCAAAACTTGTGAACTTCCCAACTAGCGACCGGGCCAGTTTCAACCACGTCTTCGTTGGTGATGCAGTGTGGTGGCGGTTTGATATTTCTGCTAGCGACTGACAGTGTTTCCAGCAAGTACTTGAAATGTAACGATCAATCACTGATCTGTATACTAATGAATGCAATCTTCAAAGGTCTAATTCAAGCGCAGACACTTCCAGTGGTCTTCGGTACACAAGAAAGAGTCCTTGATGATGGAACCCCAATCCCGCATAGTGAGGCCCTCTTAGGCTATCCAGATTTACGCCTCAGTTTGTGCGGACTCCCAAGGGTCCTTGTGTAGGCCCAAATCGTACTACATAGAGTATGCTCAAGTGACCGTGCAAACAAATTTGGTTTTGCGAGAGACTCACTGGAACCCAGCTGAATTTCCCATTTGTGATGTTCCCAGTTACTCTATTCTCTATAGGTTTAAAAAACTCGAACTTTTTCCCAAATTCATTCTACAGACGGGCGATGCTGAAAGTTGTAAAATCTTCTCTGTTCAGCGCACAAAACCTTGACATCTCAGAGGGCAGGTATGAATCCACGCACATCGGGTTTTCTAGTCTTCAGCTGAGCTTTCAATCACAGATTTTGTCTCACCAAATCTTTCCGGGATAGATATTTTTGAGCCACGATTAAAAGCCAAGAAGCACACTATGGTTGTTTCATATATATTGCTAATTATCAGTAGTGTGTATCTCACAACACTCTAGATAAATTCGAAACCGTGACCTTTCGTCTGGTAGCCTGAGCATTTAAACATTCGACCGTGAGCAGCTGATCGGCACTGTGTTTAAACCACAACAGAGGCTCTTTGTTCAGATTGCTGTAGATAAGACTAAGCAGGACCGAAGATTTTTTTGCTTCACCTTTCTGTTTCCACGAGAGAGATATCCGTTGAGTCTCAGTCGCTTGTGAATGTTAGCTGCTATGACATTGGTCGCATATGTACGCTGTGACGTACGAGGGGATGCATGTACGGTGGGATCAATGAAACAGGAACCTCGTTTACTCAAAGCTGATGTCCTATCGATCAATCTGAAGGGCTAGTCTATTACTGAACCGCACAAAAGAGCGAGTGGGATTGCTGAGGCAGTGATATATGGTTTTTACGCAATTAAGTCGATGAATACTGAGCACCCTAGCCCATTCTTGGGTTCGTAAAGTTTTTCTGCCCAAACGTCAGTGCTTGTATTCTCATGGTTGTACAGAATCTGGCTTAATAAGTGATATCTCATCCGGTTGAACGGTATGTGTGTTCTATACTTCTACTTGATTTGTAAGCCATGAGAGTTCGCAATTGATGCTGAAGAGCGCAACCGAACGACCCTAGAAATGACTGGCTAATTTGTCAAAGCTTACTCCGCACAGTGCAATCCGAACCTGACAACCTTATCTTGCGTTAGTTAGGCAGAGTTGCGCCTATTGCTCGATCGACACGGTGTTTTCCTCACCCACTGGCGTGCTTACTACGGTTGTTAATGGATTTTGTGAGAGCAGGTGCAAAAACTGCGTCCAACCTTAGGCTATCAGCAAGAACACGCAGCCCACTTTGAGACGTTTAGCTCCTGGACTGGCCAATCAGAAGCACAGATGCGGTTCGGGATTCGGCTGACCGGCGCGTGTGTTCACGTAATGTCAGCAGATGAGAGACAACACAGTTGTCTCGGGACAGACTGAAGAAATCGTGACAAGAGCGAAGGTGGCGAACGAAGTTTGTGATTAGTCCTCCTGACTAACACCTGATTTCTGGTCTCATAAAATTGCGATGTATTAACTAAGAGGACCAATCACAGAAAGGAAGCTTTGTTTGTACCTTAGTACTTGTCATGACAGTTGTCTCGCTAGTTGCGTTTAATTGACAGAACTCCGAACCAAATCATCAGTCGGATACCCGGACAGCCCATCCTATTCAAGCTGAACAAGTGTGCTACCTGACTACTCACTTCAAACTATTCGTCAGTGACCATATTTTACGCGTTTTATTGCTCTGTGTTACTAGTGATGAGTTGAAATTGCTAGTAAATGAAGCAATGGCACTTATTTCCTTGCAGAAAGCGTTACTCTGCTTGTATGGTCATAATTCTGGTGCGCAAGTTGTTTTCAACCCAAACAGGTTTCCCCAAAGATTGCATTGCATAGCATATACACAGGGATAATGTTGCCACTCTCTGAGTTCCTATGGCAGGGTTCGAGCCATGGTCTTACTCAACAGCAATACTTTGAAAGAAATATGTACACATCGCGCTTGTGCGCGTTTTGACAAGTTGTTTGACTCACGAGTTACGCTCAGTTTGGTCAAATCCAAAGCGTGTTTTGTCCCGGAATTCTAGTAAAAATGAACCCTTGTTCTGTAACAGTACACCATTATGAACCGCGTAGAGGCATAACGTTAAGCAGCGCCTTATGTAGTCAGCCAGTTGACGGTCATTCTCAATGACCTCACAGATAAATGCAAGATCATCCGCCACACCTGTTTATGGAGAAAGAAAAGCTATTCGAAAGCAATTATTTTGACCGCCGTCCTTGTTTACTTCACCCTAATCTGACTCCTTGCTTATAAGTATAAAAGTTTACCTGGAATCTTGCTCCATCACAGGTATGTTCAAAGGCTTTAAGGCATGCTCTTTGTGAACAGCAGCCGGCTTGTGTTTGATAACCTTCTTGATGACAGGAAGTATTGTATCTGGTCTATCCGTTTCCGGGTTGAAGATTGTGGCTGACAACTGCGACCCAGCACGGAGAAGTAGCACTGAAAGTGAGGAAAGAATAGCAGTTGGCTTTTCAAGTCAAGTGTTGCGATGAAGTCAGCTAAAACCACTTTCTCCTATTCTTTTGACGTATTCTTGAGTACTTTGGAACTGGAGTTTTGTAATATTTTGTAAGATGGTTATTAATCGAACAATAACTCACATTTCCGTGAGGTCAGTACATTGTCGTCATTTTCGTAGAACTTATACGGTCCGTCCGTTGTCCATTCAGAACAAATGTTTTGTGGCCATTCGGTTTCTGGGAAAAGATCTTCTCTAGTTCCTTTTTCAATTTGATAAATTGCCTGTCCGTTTGCTGGTCTATAAAAATTCTGGATAAACAAGATCGATGTATTGTAAAAACCTAGTTTGGGTATTCACTGCAAAACGGGAGAGAAATATCGGTCAGACCGGAGTGATGGTCACGTGAACGCTCGCTCAGTTCCACCGAACTTGCATTAGTGCTTGAACTCACCGTCAAGTCTACCATGCGGGCCCCCAGTATTTTTTCGATACCTAGCATTTCAGTCAGTTATTGCATACCATGGAAAAATAGTCCGGTTTAAGATATCTTAACCATGACAATCCCACCTCATAATACTCCTGAAATAGGCCAGCTTGCCCCTAGACTTACAGTTTGAGGTCCATCGGCTGGAATGTATTCTTCATAGCAATGCAGTTTGGCCCATCCAATGGTAATCCACTTTTCATCTCCTGAATTGAACAAAGTAGAGAAAGAACAAATGAAAGAACCAAGGATGGAAATTTTGCCTCAGGCAAGATTAATAATACTGTTTATCCAGCAAGTCTATTCCAGTTGGTGAGTTGTTCGCAACATAAACACGCCAGTCACCGTTTGTGTAAGGTAATGACCATCAGTTATATTCCAAAAAACGTGCTTGTGTCTTGACAAATCAACCGACAAGAACCCATTCTGGAAAAACGTAAAGTCCATCTGTACTTCATTCCCCCCGGTCAAACTCTTCTCTTGTCTGCTGCTGTTTACTGCGTCTATCTCACAGAATCGACACGCATTTGTAATCCCTTATGAACTTTTAACCCTTGACTTATCGACCAATTTGTTCGGCCATCCTTTACGCGCGCTTTTTGACCATTTTGCGTTACCACGTGTCGTACCCGCACGTGTGCCGATTTGCCATCTTTTCCGGGCTTTCTTTGGACGTGCAGTACTTTGTGCAACAGTTTAGACGGAAATCCCCATAACTTGAGGTTTGTACGTATCACGTATTACGTACTTTATACATGTAGTACCGCATCTTTTGATAAATCTTAAGAATTCACAATTTCTGGCTTGTGATTTTGCGCGTCACTCAAGCGAACTTTCCTGAATAGGTTCAAGTATTCTACACCATCGTTATTCAGTTAAATCATCCTGTATCATGACATTATAACCATGGCTGATTAAATTAAGACATTTCGAAAGAATCTGATGCGTAGAGCCCTGTCAATCATTGAGGAAAAACAGTAGTAATGAGGTGTGAAGAGATGCTGTACTTTCACCAAGACTTGTCATCAAACCTGTCTCTCAAGTCCCGAAGAATATTTGCGTAGGGTCCCGAAGTAGAGGGTACTGTTTTTGACTGGCATCAGGGTGGAAAATTGTTTCCAGTCAATTCCTTCATCTCACATATAACCTGATCAGAACCTGCTTGCTGATTTCTCAACGCAAGCATGAGTGGCTAAGGAGTCCACCAGGCAACCTGTNGATGGTCACGTGAACGCTCGCTCAGTTCCACCGAACTTGCATTAGTGCTTGAACTCACCGTCAAGTCTACCATGCGGGCCCCCAGTATTTTTTCGATACCTAGCATTTCAGTCAGTTATTGCATACCATGGAAAAATAGTCCGGTTTAAGATATCTTAACCATGACAATCCCACCTCATAATACTCCTGAAATAGGCCAGCTTGCCCCTAGACTTACAGGTTGAGGTCCATCGGCTGGAATGTATTCTTCATAGCAATGCAGTTTGGCCCATCCAATGGTAATCCACTTTTCATCTCCTGAATTGAACAAAGTAGAGAAAGAACAAATGAAAGAACCAAGGATGGAAATTTTGCCTCAGGCAAGATTAATAATACTGTTTATCCAGCAAGTCTATTCCAGTTGGCGAGTTGTTCGCAACATAAACAAGCCAGTCACCGTTTATGTAAGGTAATGGCTATCAGTTATATTCCAAAAAACGTGCTTGTGTCTTGACAAATCAACCGACAAGAACCCATTCTGGAAAAACGTAAAGTCCATCTGTACTTCATTCCCCCCGGTCAAACTCTTCTCTTGTCTGCTGCTGTTTACTGCGTCTATCTCACAGAATCGACACGCATTTGTAATCCCTCATGAACTTTTAACCCTTGACTTGTCGACCAATTTGTTTGGCCACCCTTTGCGCGCGCTTTTTGACGTTTTGCGTTACCACGTGTCGTACCCGCATGTGTGTCGATTTGCCATCTTTTCCGGGCTTTCTTTGGACGTGCAGTACTTTGTGCAACAGTTTAGACGGAAATCCCCATAACTTGAGGTTTGTACGTATCACGTATTACGTACTTTATACATGTAGTACGCATCTTTTGGATAAATCTTAAGAATTCACAATTTCTGGCTTGTGATTTTGCGCGTCACTCAAGCGAACTTTCCTGAATAGGTTCAAGTATTCTACACCATCGTTATTCAGTTAAATCATCCTGTATCATGACATTATAACCATGGCTGATTAAATTAAGACATTTCGAAAGAATCTGATGCGTAGAGCCCTGTCAATCATTGAGGAAAAACAGTAGTAATGAGGTGTGAAGAGATGCTGTACTTTCACCAAGACTTGTCATCAAACCTGTCTCTCAAGTCCCGAAGAATATTTGCGTAGGGTCCCGAAGTAGAGGGTACTGTTTTTGACTGGCATCAGGGTGGAAAATTGTTTCCAGTCAATTCCTTCATCTCACATATAACCTGATCAGAACCTGCTTGCTGATTTCTCAACGCAAGCATGAGTGGCTAAGGAGTCCACCAGGCAACCTGTGGTGATGATGTAGGCATCAGCCGATGAGGCTGATTTGTTCGTGGTTGATAGGCAGTTTGATGAATGGCTAGTTCATTATGCGAACGGAGTATCGTTCAATGCCAACAGGAAGGAAGGGCTTCAATGCAAAGTTACTTATTAGGAAATGCCAACTGACCAGTTACAGACTATTGCACAGGGAAGTAAGACTCTCATCTGCATCTTATTCACAAAAACTGAACAACCATCTTCTCTTTGGACACGTCTTCCTGAACTTTCCTGGATATTCATTGACTGTTGCTCAAATCCAAACAAATGCTACAAAGCGACTCCACAAATTCCGCAATAGATCTCCCTTTTCAAGAGACGCAAAGCGAATTTACAAGAAGAAAACATACTACTCGCATGCCTCCCCTATCTGGAGTATCACCGTTACATCTGTGGTGATGATGTTGGCGGCAGCCGATGAGGTTGATTTGTTAGTGGTTGACTGGAAGTTTGATGAATGGCTAGTTCCTTATGCACACGGAATCTCGCTCAATGTTTTGTTATCATTCTGTAGGGTTAGCTGTGTTTTCTGTACCATAATCTAATACATATTATATATGTTATGATGTATAATATATGTCAAATAATACATGTCGGTGTATCAAGTGCTCAAGACCTGTTTATCTGAAAAGTTAGTACTAAACTGGACCTTGTAGTTCGTAGTTGCGCAGGTGGAAAATGCAATCTAGTGATTCTGATTTTGCCTGCTTGGTGTTTTTAAGTAGCTTAGAGGAACGAACAAACGTTCTAGCTCTTGGATGATACTGGTACGTGCGGGGTTTGGGTTTTAGCATGCTGCCTTCCCGAGAGGATCAGTCTATTTGACAGTCTAATTTCCCAAACTACCTCTTTGTTTAGCTCATCAGGCATACAAATAATAATAATAAGAATAAAATCATAAACAAGCCACTTCTGCGAACCACAAAGTTGGAAACCGAGTATATTTCTTCTGGTTACTCTCTTCCAAGGATTGCGCCTCGGTTTTTTTCTAGGTGAACGCCTTTAGCCTGAAGGTAAGTGAAGTCCCTAAATTCAAACTCTTTGTGAGGAAAAAACTAGGTCTATGATTTGCTGGTCAAATGCACACACTAATGTGCTGATATACTCTCTTCCAAGGATTGCGCCTCGGTTTTTTTCTAGGTGAACGCCTTTAGCCTGAAGGTAAGTGAAGTCCCTAAATTCAAACTCTTTGTGAGGAAAAAACTAGGTCTATGATTTGCTGGTGAAATGCATACACTAATTGTGCTGATATATGTCATCCAGTCACATGTTCCACTTCTTACGATCTAATGGTAACTGGTCCTTCAAATGGCATCTTCGTCACGCTAAATCATCGTGAAATAATGGGAGTTGCTCATTACCGAGGCATGATAATCAGGCTTCTTATCTTTTCGCTCATGCTTTACTATTCCCAAGTGAGCAGCGACGACATATCTCTTGCCCCCTCCTAATTATTCGGTAAACACAAACTGAAAACAGGTGAACTTCGGATTATATCAGGCAGGTGACCACACGGAAAGTTGAGAACACCTCTTATCTTGCTGTTTGACGCTGCGATGTACTTGAAGAGAGGTCGATGAGAGGTCGTGATTCAGTCTTGTAGTTCATTCCGGTATGTACAAAAAGTGAAAATTGACTAACCTGTATATTCGGTACTAAAATACAATAAGTTTCCCTGAATTGAACTTATTGAACTTATTGAACTTATTCATTGAACTTATTCTCTCATAGGCGACTTACGCCAAACCTTCCCAGTATTTTGCCACCAAATCCTGCTACCGATTCATTAAATACTGTTCAAGGTGGTTACCGAGAATTTGCTTGATTAACAAAATGCGATGGAAAGAGTTCCCGGTGTTTTCTCTGAAAGTTCGGAAGAATGGGGGTCTTTCGCCATAAAATTTCATTTTTGGTTCTCCATCAGTTTTCGTTGAGTGAAATTCGCATCGTCTCGCGCTGATCCGAAAATACCTATCTCCTACTACTTGCAAGTAGCGAGAAAAGATATTTCAATTTTAGGCTCGGCAACAGCAATCGGTCAACATGCCCCTGAGAGGTACACTCAATTTATAGTTTAGAATGCGCTTCTCCTACCTCCAGTGCATAGGAATGAGCTTATAGAACAAATTTTCGAAAATGGAAAGAAAACACTTGCCGCAGCGCTCAGCTTCTATGCTATATCTCTGTCGACTTTTTAACATTCATCGCTAAAACGGTTTTCCGGGGAGCCTACTCCATAGCGTCAGCAGAACGGAACATGCTTTGGCAAAAAACTGGGATACAGTTTAAATAAAAAACGATCAACAGTTCACTAGTCCCCCAAAAAACGCGAATAAACAAACATCAGCTTTTCCATCGAAAATTCTTTGGGACGTCACCAAACGACACCGTAGTGTACTTTAGTCAAAATAAGGGCGTGGATGACAGGAAACTTCCCTGAACCTGTTGTCAAACACTGTAACTAATGCAAAATTTCAGGCACACAAGGATACTGTTTCATATAATGTAAAATTGTACACATTATACTGTAACACCTAATGGCCCATATACTCTTGCTTCAAGTACTTTGCGGATTTTGAAACAAGCTTCACTGAATACGACCGACCTTCAGGTAGTACTCCAGAGGATATACGAGCGAATCAATAAAATCGATACAGCAGCCAATGAGATGTAAACGAAGTGAAACGAACTATAAAGGATCTAAACCCACCTTCTACCACGGGGATCTGCGTTGTCACCTTTTTTTGTTCAATCCGCACCTTCACATAAGCTGGCGAAGTCCTGTTTTGACCCGACTCACTTGATGGTGCGGGCGACAAAGTATCGTCGATCTTTCGTGCCTTTTAAAAAGAATAGGTCGTATATCTACAAACTGTCAACATGCAGGTTCAGAAAACATGATTGGTCCTGCAAATTGTGATAGTTTGGTCAAATATTTTTCGTCATAAAAATGATAGCTGCTTAGGTGAAAACAAATAACACCTTAAAGTAGACTGTTTCTAATATGCACTGACGTTTTGTAAAATCGGATTCTGCTAAGTAGAAGTAAGCATGAAGCAAACGTCTAAGAACCTGCTGATAAGGTGGGGAACTGTAGTCAGTTTTATCTAAGATTTCGTCCTGCAGAAGAAGTCAGCCTTGTACAGCTGATTCATTCATGTTAGGAATACTCAACAGTGCACCTCTCACGAAACTCTGGATGATATCAACCGCGCAACATTCCTGCCGGTAGTGTGAACAGTTAGCGAGCGATGACTTATCAGATCCATCAGGCTTGTCTATAGGCCAAGCTGTGAGTGGGACTGCGCGATGCTGACCTCACGAGTGCAGGATGGGTGGCGCCATACCCCTTTTAAATGCGATCTAATTACAGTGCTGATCAGCTGCTTGTGATCCAACGAATGTGCTCAAACCACTGATCCGGGAGTGAGACGCCTACCGATGATGGTTTCCAATAAGGATGAAAGAGTGCTTTTTGGCTTCATTTACAGGACTAAATCTCCACTGAAAATCTACAGAACCACGATATATTGCTATTTCCTTAAATCTCGCTGCATCAGCCAACGTACGACAGAAGAATGCACATTTTACAAGAGAACAGCAAAGGGGAAACCCAGAAGAAATGTGCACGAAGGTTTAACGCAAAGAACTGGGATGGAAGTTGAGAGATAATGAGCTTAACTGGGGAAATTTTTGATGACGTCAAATCTAAGCTTTAGCATCTGTGCACCAAGACTCGGCTTCTGTGTAGAAGATATTTTATTCACCATTAAATTAGAATTTTATTTTGACTGTCTAAGTTTTATCAAAACCCAGCGCATCAGTGCCTAGGGGAAACAAGCCCAGAACAGGTGGAAACAATTCAAAACCGTACCTCGAATGGGTTTTTGTCTCGCTAATACAGACAAGCTCTATAAATAGCTATTTTCATTTATGATTCTACTAGAATGACCTCCTTCAGTTGGTCCCATCAAGTTCCCATCCATACTTTTGCAAATCTATCAGTACATCGCCAGTAAGAGTGTACAATTTCTACATCCAAACAATGAACGTCGAATTTAAGATGTGATTCATTTTTTCACTGCCTTCACATTCGAGTAGACTTTCTTTTGACTGACTTCTTCAGCCATCAACATGGATCGGCTTTTCTGCACAAGGAATTTTGGTTTTCGTATTTGTTTGAAGTGTGTTTCTAGTGTAGGCTTGCTAGGCTGCGGACGTGCCTGCACTCCGCATGTCCTATAGTCTGTGGCGGTTTTCATGGACAGCTCGGTAAATTTCCGCAGCAATTTTAAAACAGTAATTTCTTCATGGCGTGTAATCCTTCTTGCAACCTTCCGGTTTCCTCCTCTATGTGGTAAACAGGAGGTGGATGACTTCCGCTTGTTCGTCTGTCTTGCCAGTAATCAGTCATTTCTGATTCCTCGCAAGTCCATGTGTTGCTAATTTTTGGAAGCCCAGACAGTGCAGATTGATTGATTAATAACCCCTGATGAGCATCGTTCACACGTTAAGCCTGATCCTGAGTCAGATCAATAGAGCTCATTCGAGCGGCACCCACATGGGTTACAAGCATGAGGAATTAGTCGATTTCTGTTTGGATGCTTGTATTCCACCTAGAGTAGTCCCTACGGTACCTCTTCGCCATGCGAGATGGAGTGTGTGTGTCTGTCAATATATACATATATATATATATATATATATATATATCACTACAACAAAAGTCCCGTGTTCGCTGTGCATAAATTCACTATTCTGGATCACAGTGAACCTCGATTCAGAAGTCGTGCATACATTTGTTCTTTATGTATTCACAGTGCTTGAGACCAATGGAAGTCACTCAGAACATAACTTTTGATTTTATTCATTTATCCACTGTACCCTCGGATTCGTATCTACACACGAGTTTTAACTCTCACCGGCGGCCCCTGACAACAATATTACCATTAGAAACTGTAATACCAGAGAATGTAGAGGCTGTAATGAATGACATCGTCCGGCACTCCCTTATAAACGAAATGCACATTTACTGCAACGTGACACGTCCGTTGATTTATTTCCTTACTTATTATAGAGAAACAAAACAAAATGATTCTGTAAATGCCTGAAAAGGAATTGAGTGAGATTGGCGAAAAGGAGCCAATATCGAAAAGTGATCACCATGGAGAACGGTGTGTAGTGCAGCACTACTGCTAATTAATCCTCCGTCTGTTTGCAGACTTCACTGTGATCGTCAGCTCCCAACCCATAACTCTTCACTACACTTTCAGGTCTCTCTAAGAAACAAAGACCTCAGATACAACTTAACCCGCCTTTTTTTTGAAGTTATGATTAGAATGAATTGTTCAAATTTGTCGCTGGTACACCTACATTCTACGTCACAATAGCTCAGTTATTAAAATTATGGAATGCAAGAGTAATCTCGAACGCTGCAAACGTCCTTCAACCATCCGGGCCATTTAGGTATCGATCTCTGCAATCGATTTGCAGTTTGACCTTGTGAATTTTGGCTCCGGTTTTGGCTCAACAGTTTGGAGTATACACTGAACTTCCTGGTTCCGTGATGACATTAGCCTGTTCTGGCTCCAAAGGTCTATCTATCCCAACTCATTTGCTTTCAACTGAAGAGGAAACCTATGACGCGTAAAAGTATCACTTCATCCCAATGTGTGTCATGCATTCATTAGGTCTGTGCAAGCCACTCATAACCGTGTTCTATGTAAGCTCTAAGCCATCTACAACCTAGCAAAGCTTACCTCGAAGATAACTGGTGCCTCGTGAAAATAGTGGAGAATGAGTAACCGTCTTTCTGGTCGAGGAAATACTGGCACATCCGGATCCACGGGGACATACTGTTCCTTCTCACAAAATTTCCCATTGAACAGCACCTTCGGGTCCACGACAGTGGTTTTTGTTTCAGTGACCACTCCCCCAACAACAAGTTCCAGAGACAGACGAGGGAAGAACTTTGGCTGATCCTTAGGTAGAACAATATTTATTAAAGTCATGCGAGTTAAAAAGGTAAACTGCCTTGTAAGACCAGCAAGCGAAACAATTAAATACCAACTTTCCCTCAAAACATGACTATTTAAGCAGTTTTAAAGTGGTAATACTGCCCCCAGCTGAACAAGTGACATCAAAGAGTTAATGAGAAATTACGAGCCTTCCGTTTACTAGTGTAAGCCCCAAAAGTAAACGACTGTCTCTATTTCATGTTCTCTGAGGAGGGAACGAATTCTAGTAATTGAACAGGAAAAGTATCGTGGAAGGAAATATTTAACCATCTTTACAAGTGAGTCCGGTTTGGAAGAACCTTTCCATGGATTTCGTCAAAGTGGCCTTCTCGGAGAGGAGGAGGGGAGATAACCACAAACAAAAGGCAGCCGACTGCACGATAGTCTGCCCCCAGCAACTAGGCACAGGTTGCATCCAACGAAGCATAGATCGAGCCTCTCGGAAAGCCTGTGATCAAAATACAAATGAATATCCTTTTTTCGCACACACCTGCATTGTATCCGAGTAGTGATCATTTTGGAAATGGTTCAATTGCTGCTCACTGCAGGAACCAAGAATCACTTTTAAGAAAGGAACTCTAGGTATGTATATCCAAACAGCAAGTGGGAGCAAGTGGTGTCTTCAACGAGGTGGTGAAATCCCACTGACCAGAACCGCACAATTTTTACCTGAGACAAACTTGTCTTGATCCTATAGTTAATGAGTATGTTTCCAAATGACACCAAGATTAGAACCGTCACTGCATAACCGGTCCGTCAAAACGACTCTACCCTGTAAAAAATCCCCGAACTGAGAGTATAAAGAAACGCCAAGACCACAGTGTAAGTGGAGCTACCTTATATACGCCAGCCAAGCAACCAATCGATCAGTCAAACGGTTGCCATATGTCCGAGTGCTAATTTTGTGCAATCAGTTCGAGGCGAATTCGTTCCACCTCCTTCGTGGTCGGACAGTTGTAGAAACCTCAAATCTGTCCTCACTCCGCCCTCTCTTACTTGCTTCTATACGGATTGTCGTTTATAATGAATGTTGAGGGTGATGTGTTAACACATGCTCTTCGGCGAAGAGATTCCTCCTGGATTACTGATTTGACGTACCGAGAACACCTGTGTTACTTCCTTGTCAATTTGTCTCCTACCCTTGTGCGGATTTTTAGAAAGATAATAGGGTCTCTAGTCGGATGTATAAGAAAAATGATTTTGCGCCCAGATGGCTTATAAGTCTAGCGATCTTGCAAGCCTTTCTTTGATCTCTTTTGGGATCAAACTATCCTTTCTAGAATACTGTGTTCATTTTTATTAATGCGCGATCTAGAAAAATAACGTGCCATTGTACACCATTCTTCCCAGTGTTCTAGTCGCTACTTTATTTAATTTAGTCACCTGATAGATTTGTGACACACCCTTCATAAACATCTGTGAGCTGTGAAGATTGAGACCCAAAAACTGATGGTGGGATTGAAGGTACTGAAAGACAAGGATGCGACGAAACACTGCTGTCATGCAATTACCGTTTCCATCATTCTCACTGGCTCGATTAGCGTGGCTCCCTCACACGAACTGCATAAAAATCGGCCTGTGACTTGACTCTAGTTGAGGTATCCAGACTAGATGGGAGGCAGGAGTTGGGAATGTAGATTGTACGTATTGATGTTGATAATGTGATACCAGAAAACCTCGAAATCAGATCACGATTACACTTAGGCTATCTGAAGCATCTCATTCAGTACGGTACACTCAAACACCTGCAATAACTAGACTTACCAATTCCGACGAGGTTATCAACACAGCTACCAAGCCTTGAATTCCCACTGCAGGTAGACGTCTCTGTCGCTCCTCCGGTTCTTTGGGACCCTTATCTCTGGAACAATGCCATAGTGAATTGGACATGAGAGTTTAATTGTTTCGGTGTATTTTTGTCACATCCTCACAGTGAAGATGGATCACATGACGCAAAAACAAACAGTTGGTCAAACAGTCTTACTACTAAATCTGCGAATGGTCCTAGAAGACTTGAAAGTGGGGTCAAGACGTGTTTCTAACCAGCTAACAAGTGTCTGAAACGGAGCTAAACCGGACGGATGCATAAGGAGCGATGAGCTACAAAAGGACCATTACAAAAAAGGTAGTGGATGAGCCCCGTGCGTGATTCTCTCATTGTTTTCTACCAAGAAGTGCAAAACCAGGAGTCGTAAGTACAAACTGGATGGAAAATTAGAACCCCAGGAAAATAATTTGTCACGCTGAGTAAAGTTCATATACCACAGTCAGATGAAGTAAGAAGGGATGTTTTCATAAAGGAAACTACTCACAAGGTTGCTGAAAACTCTTCGACAGCCCACGACCGGTTTCGCCCTTCTTGGGGCTCATCAGGTAGGCGCATTCCCCGAGTTTCCGTCAACCTTATGTTCTACGTGAACGCGAATTGGACTGTTTTTGAGAACTACACTCATCTACGAATCAATTTGGTTTTCACGAGAGACTGAACTGAATCTCTCGTTTGTGATATTCTACAACTAAATGTGCTGCACACAAGTCACCTCATGATTCAGTTGGTACGATATTCGAGATATCGCAGTACATTTTTATAAGAAGGGATGTTTTAAGGTGAGAAATATATTCATCGGTTTGTTCGCTAAAATATGTTCAGTTTTTGATCAAACTATTTCCAACCTGTAGCTAAGTAATATGGTCTGTTTTGGATTTTTAGGGCGGCACTAGAAAAAACTAGATTGGACAAAAAACACACGGGCAGGTAGTGATTTAAGAATATAGCTTGGCACAGTACAGCTTCACATAAGTGGTAATAAGTGAGGAACGATCGAGTCCAGACCGTTCATGAATAGAGATATTGCGGAAAGTGTTATGAATTCTAAAACCAAAACTTGAAGTCATTGAATCTCCAAATAACTGGTGAGATTTGATACGGGTTTTGAGCGCTTCAGATAAACAAGGAATATAGAAACGAAAAGATCTCTGGAGAATGATGAACCCATGGTTATCAACCCCTCTAAGTATCCCATTCCACAGTTAGATTATCAAAGGCTGATCACATGTTATTTCGTTCTTTCGTGAGTGAGCTTTTCAAGACTTAGGATCAGAGCTGTTTGTGGAACGCAGTCCCGAATCCCCATTTTAACATCCTATAAAATAGGCCATATCCTTCTTGACTCAAACATAACACAGATGCCCCTGTATGTCGGCATCAAACAAGCGTAATCCGTCCTTGCTCACCGCTGCTAACAAAGTGCTACTCTTCATTCAATCGATCGATAACTCGGAAGGCATTCACGACGCTCACGTGATCGGCGAGTTTACGTTTACTTAAAACAACGCGGCATGGTTCAAATCCGCTGCTTTCTTGAAACTGCTCTTGTGGGGGAAATCGATGGCATGTTGTCCAAGCCTTCGTTGGCATTTAGGATCGGTTCGATCGTCTGGTGTCCGGCACGGCAGACAGTTCCAGAAGTGCTTGCAGCACGTCTGGCTTCTCAGAGTGAGTTCCTCAGTTCAAGTTTTTATAAATCCATGGAAATAGAAAGTACTACCCAAACTATCTGATAAATCACTCACAGTAAAAGTAGTTTTAAGGGCTTAGTGCGAAAAGACCGCGATTAAACCTTGGGTTCATAGACTGTTGAACAGTAACAGCTTGTCTTTTTTTAACTTTTAGGAGGATATATTACATGGCTACAATGATTAAGTCACAAAGATCTGTTCAGAAGAATCGTGATTTATGGGAAGCGACCAGACAGTTGTTTACGCATATTCCTTAGGCCTACCGTCTAGAACCTACCAAATTTTTACAAAGCCTAGGCGAGCAGTGAAAGCTTTTGTGAGGCTGAGTCATCAACCACCTTCACCAGCTTGCCCGCTCCTATAAAGATAGGTGTGTTCATCGAGAAGTTTTGTTTATCAACAAATATACGTACTAAGTGGTTCCTGTAAACTCACTGCAGGGAATCAGACCATCAACGCAGCAAACTTTAAATCTATCAAGGAAATGGCATTGTCACCGCTACGGCCAACAGCATAACTGTCTACGGATCCTAGCTGGTCGGAGGGTTGCATTTTGTCATCCTACGGTCTCCCTATTCTGTCTCAGTTTTCCAGACTTTTGCCCATCCTTGGGCTTTGAAGACTGAAAACAGTTACTATGATGCTTTGCAACCCAGCAGATTTTAAACGCGTTACAAACCAACAGTCGAAGTTTATGCGCAAAATGATGTGTGTTGAAGAACAGAGGACCCCAAGTGACGAGCCAGTCAGGTCATACATTCGCTTTAAATATAAAAAACATAAATATATATGAAATATAAATATATATAGTAGATAATTTACTTGCTGATTATGCAAAAGGGAGACATCAACAATAAGTCCGGGGTGGAACCAACACACTACTTATTTCCTGAGCAGATCACTGTATTTCAAAATACGGCATCAAGATAACACGGAACGTCACAGTTTCGCTGATTCAAAACAAACCTAACGGCTTACTCTAGTAAACTGATGCGAACGTGTTAATTTTATTGACTACTGAAGGAAAGCTTCTTGTGATAGCATTTACAGGCATTGCTCATTATTCTGTCGAACAACTGTCAAATATCTCCCATCTGTGATTGCCAACTGACCCGTTTCTTCTCTAGAAACGTTACAAATCAGCCTTAGTGAATGTGGTTACCGAAAATCTTTTCGACAACAGAAGCATGAAAGGTTTGCTGAACTGTTCAGAGTTATTATCGCCACAAGTAGCACTTTTCCTTTTGGTCTTGTCAGCTGATATGATCCCGTACGCATCTCATTTTGCGTTTACGTTTCTTTCCCGGTACATCTAACTCGGTACTTCTTAGTCTTTTTCGTCAGAATCAATATGTCCTCTTTTCCACTGTCTTTTATCATCTAAGTGTAACCAGTCATTCTGCTTTTGTTATCACATCTTTGTGATGATGAGGTACACATGGTTCTCAGCGGACAAGAGAAAAAGGGTGCCCAAGTTCACAATTCTGTGATGCATATCAACCATAGCCAGTTGAACCACAGACGCCGTCTATGGATTTGAAGACTGCTGCTCAATACATCATCATTGGGAACGGGATATTGTATTCACGATGCCGGTTACGACAATATCAGCATTTGTCTGCTCCTGAGACTCACGAATTACAACTAAACAGCTCATTTGTGTTGAGCACATTTTTGGTCTTGGGTCCTGGAATCACAAGATAGAAAAGGCGATCAAAGTAGGTGGAAACAATTGTTGAAAAGAAGAAGGCCTTCGCTGCGGAGTCGTTTATTACAAAATGTCAACTAAACAGGTACAGGCTATTGGACAGGGAAGGAAAAAATCTCATTTGCATCTTATTTACAAAACTTGACATCCATCTTTTCTTGAACGCGTCTACCTGAACTTTCTTGGATATTCATTGACTCAAATTATTCATTGCTTGAATTCAAGCAAATGCTACAAAGCGATTCCACAAATTCCGCAACAGATCTCCATTTTCAAGAGAGGGAGAGCGAATTAACGAGAAGAAAACATACTACTCGCCTGCCTCCATCATCAGTAGTATCACCCAAATGGCATACCGCGCGCTCCAGGGTCATTGATACAATCAAATAGATAGAAGGGGTGTACGTTTTTGGCTCTTGTTTCTGGTAGAAGTTGACAACCACTTTTATCTGCACTCCTAGTAATGGAATCAAACAATTGGGTAATGATCCGTGACTAATTCTTCGAAATGGTGACAAAGGCGTTTAAGGTGATTTCAGTAAGTATGGACAGTAGATTATTCAATGTAGGCCTGACTGCGGTATGTCAGATCACTTCCTTTGAATGATGCTTCTGTTGTCACCACTGATGGACAAGACGATGAGCTGGACCCACACATGCGACTTGCGTAAATTCTGCTTCATACGCCACTGCCAATATTAATATGCTGGTAGTCTGACTGATTTCCTCGCGAGCTGTCTGATTTGTAACACTCTACCACGCCTGATAGATAGCCTGCGGACTGAGTAATCATGGAAAATCACAACACTGAACAATATGGTAATGCTTGTTGTGATATCTCACCATATGTGCGCGTCTGACTGACCCCGAACGTATGCAACGCCGAGACCCCTTCCTCTTTCTGACTTTGAGTGCCAAACATATTAGTATGCGCATATTAGGTGAAAAAACAACCACGTCAACGATTTGCGCTGAGTTGGTTACTATGGCTTAGAAAGCGGACGTATCAACAATCGGGGTGAAATGCTTATCAAAGAATCAGATGTAATCAATAACATTCACTACTTGTCCTTTTGGAGTTGAAGCCTGCGGCAGTCGCCCATGATTAAGTCACTCGATTGGCTTCGTTGTTACATCGCCTACGAGGTGTTACCTTGGCGCTCGTTAGTTGATTAGTACAGTAAAGTAAAGTTGTATTGATTTCGCATTGAGAAACAAGGAATGGTGGCCATGACAACGTTTTCTTGTTTTGGGGACATGAGAGAGCCGGTTGATAAAACCTGGCTTCCGTTAAGGAGTACGCAAACTGGGATACACTAAATAGAATCAATGAATTCAAAAACCAGAGATTTTTCGAGCGCAGTAATTTGAAGCAACCATCAGACACGGAATCCAGTGGCTGATCTATGGACGCACTGGCGGACGATTGGTACAGTGGAGAGTAAAAATTACTGCCTCTACCTAAAGCTGATTCTGCCTTGAACTTCCCCCTAAAATAACCGCATAAGAGCAGGTTTTAGTCATAATAATGCTCCGTATTTTCAGGCCTTCTAAAAAGGAACAGCGTAGTTCGCTTTTCTATCTGTTTATCTGTAGCTGTGTTGCTCACTAAGCTTAGCAGTTTTGCGGCAGATATCGATCGAAAAGCCAATGTGTGGCGGGTATGCCCACGTCGTTGGTTATCCATTAGAAAATAGACTGGAGTAAATACTCCCGAGGATTCCGGGACCTCAGCAACATTTGGGAGCCACTATTCAAAACTGGCCGGCAATTCGGTGGATAGTGTAACATTTGGGACTTGTGTTACTTGGGAAACTCTCGCAAGTCGCTGACCAAAATGTTCACGTTTACCATGAATAAGTAAACGAGGTCAAGCAAGTATTGTTTCGTAAGCATTACACATACCTGATTTAGCATATTCTCGTAGAAAAAGTGTAGAAATACAGAGATCGAACTCTCCACATAGTTAAACGTGATAGGCTAAACGTTTGACCAGGTGAAACCACTCTTCATTGTGAAATATCTCATCTAACATGGCTTTGAATCGAGGATGGATCTGAACATCGGGCAAAAGTCCCTTGTTCTCACTATCCACAGGTAAATCATCACATAAAAACGAAGAATTTCTGCGTAAACGATATCACTTCCATTGCAAATCAATTTGGTTTTCACAAGAGACTCAACTGAATCTCTCGCTTGTGATATTCTACAACTGAATATGCTGCACACAAGTCGTCTCATGATTCAGTTGGCACGATATTCGAGGTGTCGCAGTATATTTTCATGAAGGAAACTACTCACAAGGTTGCTGAAAACTCTTCGACAACCCACGACCGGTTTTGCCCTTGTTGGGGCTCGTCAGGCAGGTGCAGTTCCCGAGTTTCCATCAAACTTATGTTCTACTTGAACCCAAATCACACTGTTTTCGAGCAGTTTTCAGCAACCTTGTGAATAGTTTCCTTTATGAAGATCTCACTTCCAGTTTGACTAATTTCAGTGCTATACTTTAATAAGACAATGTGATTGTTAGTCGTCATTCCGACCACCCAAGCCTCCTCTTGACGCATGAATGAGCACCGAAAGTTCTGTGAAATGACCTCAGATCTTCCAGGGGGGGTGACAGCAGCAGTTTCAGCTGCGTAACAACTTGGTTTGACAGTGGTTTTGGCTTGCTGCCACAGCAGATAAGATTTTAACAGAACTTGTTTGGAGCGTCCATAATGAAATTTTAGAAGAAATTTGACTAAGTGTTAACTCTATCCTGCAGACCAAAGGTGACCCGCGGAAAAGAGCAACACGACTCTAGTCTGCAACCAATCGATCATTTCTTTGACTCATGGAGTTATGGTACTCTACCGATCTCTGCCCTGCTAACCTGGACTAAGGGAGCCCTATGAAGGGGAACACTTTCATACAGATATCGCTGGAGGTCCAGATTCGGATGAGAACATAGGCTTTATGCAGTTCACACCGAGTGGTCCAAGCTTTGGAATGCACCGTTTTGCTCTCTGGTCTCATTAGACAGGTCAGCTCCCGTCCTATGTATTAGGAACCAGGGAAAAACAATGAATTCAGTTTTTTGTGTGAGTCCACTGATCGTTGAATGCTGACCACCTCTGGAGAATGAGACTTGCTTCTCTTCAGTCTGTGTATTTCAACAAATCCGCTCAAGCTTTCTACAAAACTTACTCTGACTCCGTGGTGAGACGGTTTTGACGATCCACCCGGACGGGACAACGGTCCGATTTATTCTGCAATTTTCGCCATCCTTTGATTATATCCAGGGAAAAAAATCCGTAAGGTGCGTTTTCAATCACCTAATTGAGGAAAAAATTTTCTAAGTAATAGTGAGTTCGATTTTAGAATGACGAATTTCTTACCACACAGACTAACATAGTGCTAGAATCTTTTTGAAACCGTACCTTGTGGAATCATATACGAAAAGCAACGTCTGTCAAGCATGTACACCATCAGTTCACTGATATTTGACAGAGATATTTCTGCTTTCCGTTATAGAGCACTTTGATCAGTATGCGGCATTCGATAGAAGAGAATTCGGTTTTACAGTAGTGTCTGACACTGATCGATTGATTGATCGGCGGTCTGGTTACAAGGGATGTGGCAATACCAGCATCGAGCATCTTCGTTGAGTTTCTATTCCACTGTAGACTGACATGAAGGTGTCATTTAAACATTTTTGAGGAACAGTTGATATATTCACTTGATACAACACGCTACTCATAAGGATTCTGGAAGCCCTTGGACAGTCCACTGCCGGTTTCGCGTTTTAAAGGTCACACCAGGTAAATGAGGTCCCAGAGTTTAAATCAACCGTATGTTCTACCTGAACATCATTCTGTGCGTAACGAGTGAAGTGCACTCATCCTCTAGTCGGTTTGATGTTAACGAGACATCCACCTGGGATTCAGTTGAATCTTTCATTTACGCAAACCTAATTTATCGAACGAGCGTATTTCATCAGTTGTAATTCGATACTCAAGCAAAAGGATAAACTGACAGAAGATCGGGGACTACGGCTACCTTATTATCCTCAAGATGGGAGGAGGCGGTAGTGAATTGTCGAAGCGTTTTCAACAAACGTATGAAATGTTCCATCAAGGAGGTGACCTTCGAATTTTTCGTAGAGTGGAATATGACTTGAAAATTCTTAAACTGACAAGTCCAGGTTCATGTATGAACTTGTGCGCTAGGCTCTTTCTTTGTCAGTTTTGTTAAGGACATTGGTACAATCCAAACGCTGACTTCTTATTGCGGTCCGGTACTGATCACTGTTTACCTGGTCTATTTTCAAGGTATGGTCACCTCGTCCTTGGTCGCTATCTTTACAGATCCAGATTCCCCCTCTTTCCCGTTCTTTTGCCTCTTCATCGGTGCATTCTTTTTCCACAGTTGTATGGAATTTGAACATCGGCACCGGCGTGTTGTTGTCGATGACTAGAGGTAGCTGACCTGATTTAAACGACTGATAAGCGGTAATTTCGAAAACAGAAAAAATGACCCATAACAAACTGAAAAAATATTCGATGAAGGCAAGAAAAAGCATATGCGAGATGCAGCACCTACGTGATATGCCTCTGAAAGGGTGTCCACAGTTGACAGCCGATGACGCATGAACGACAAGAGAGTTTCCGCCATGTGTAACATCACTTTATGGTCGAAATTGTTCATGATCCATTGATCCCACAAGTAGAACAACACTGGTGGCTTCACGGTTCCAACAAACAACTGGGAACAGATGGGGAGCAGGTTAGGAATAGACAAAGCCAATTTGGATCTTAATTTTCAGCTTTGAACACCGATGGTTAGTTTCTATTGCACAACTATGCCGTTAACTCCCGTGTGATCCATACGTATCTGCATCGTCCCGCGGTGAACATCGTGGACTTCCGTTTCGGCTACTTGGGCTAGGATCCCAATATAGGTCCCTTCAAATTGGCGGCCAGTCTCCACCTTGAAATTTGTGTACATATATTGTCAATGCGAATACATGCTAGATACTTCACAACGCATCAATATATTTTTTTTAAGCATAATACCTTTTGCGTCATGTGTGAGCTGTCTTAAGACCATCTGTGGGAGTAAACAAAAGCTGTGATCGGTTAGTAGCCGGAAGAATTAGAATAAATTTTTTATTCTTAGGCACAGCCAATTTGGGGATAATAGGTTGGAATTTGGTTCTCTGGATCCTGAAAAGCGTAGTTTACACATTCCCGTCTTTTGCATCAACTTCCAAGAGCACAAACAAAACAAACATGAGCAAATCAGACGTCACAATAAGGCTGGATGACTCTGTCTCTGTATCCGTCTTGTTCTCACAGCATGTGGGAGATCCACGCGATTTTTTGTTCACTACGGAACAACCATAGCCAAAATTTGAATAGCGTTTGTTTCAATTCAGCCTTCTAAGCTATGTGCACCTGCATATCACCAGCTTGGAAAAGGCCTGTTAAATCAGACCATATCAGTGGCGTGTTCGTAATTTGAAGGAGTGGTCGATTTTCTGATATATTCGAAACGGTACACCGCCACACAGCTGTTAGTAGGGGAAGAGTAGGCACGTGATAGTCTTTAGATTTATTGTCCTCTTTAGCATTTTTATTGTGCGCCTTGGCTGTCTAGTAGATCGACCGAGGAAGAACAGGTGGACCTTTGTGTACAGTGATTCCATCTCAGAGAGAAGCCCGGTTGGACCTCAAGGATCATTTATCTTCGACAGTTTTTTTTTCGGTTGAGGTAAATGGGCGCTCGGTATTTGCACAATGGAGTTGAATTTTTGAAAGCTATGACGTGTTCCTGTTAGACTACAGGAGACAATCAATTGAGTTCCGAGTACGAATTCAATCTCCTGAGCCCCATCTAGGCATCACAGGGTATCATCGATGCTAGGAAAGTATTCCACCAGACTTTTTTCCGCCAGAAACATGGGTCCTTCAGTGGACAATGAAATTCGGTGAGCTGCAAAAATATGAACGTAGATTTTGCTGGATTTTGGCTTGAGCACACGCGCAACAAAATGCAACATTCTGGCGTAAAAAGCCTTATTCTACTTGCATAGGTTCTGCAGCTAAGAGCATTGTGCGGCTGATGGGCCCCGGGTAATTGAGCACCAAATACTTTGCATTGAAAGCCCACCGCAAAATCCCAAAACTGTATTGTCTGTGTGACAAAGTTTATTCACTTTAGGACTTGAAGAACAGACTGTTACGGAAATTGAAGCCTTCATGTTTCTATTCAAAAGGGCACCTAAAGCAACGGTGTCAACAAAACAGCCGCAGGCTTTCCACCTCCAACAGCTTTCTTCATGCTGGAATGTCCAACTTAGCTCTATAGGCGTAAAATGCGAAATCATCAAGGGGGAATGTGGCTAAATAGAAGGTTTACTGACCTAATATTTACACCACAAGTTCTTGAATGGCACCACACATAAGAAGTTACTCTTCTTTTATTCACTTTAAAGATTTTTTCCACCGTACGCGCCCTAATGACATCCCCTTGATTGACGACGAAACTTCTGAAGGTTAATCAACGAGTTCGGTGAACAGATCAACAACCACCTGATCAACTATACCAATGCAGCCCCGTACGCGCCCTAATGACATCCCCTTGATTGACGACGAAACTTCTGAAGGTTAATCAACAAGTTCGGTGAACAGATCAACAACCACCTGATCAACTATACCAGTCAATGCAGCCCAGCTGGCAATATTCCGGCACACTTTCAATTCATGTTCACCATTTTAACACTTCCGGTCATGTTGGAGTTCGTCAGGGACTGTCCAAGAGTCTTCTCCGAACAAACGGTACTCGTCAAAGGAGCCATCACTCTGCAACCATGTTCTCCACAAATTTCTGAAACTTGCTCAGTCTTATTGCCTTGGGTGGCATGAAGGCCTAAATCTCTCTTGGATGATTACCACGACTGCGCTTTCCAAATCAGACTTTCTGGCCGCGTTCACAAATGGATGATATCAGGAAGGTCAGCTTCCTGAAAGCAACCACTGAATGCCCGGAATCTACGGAGACCCTCAGCTCCGCTAGATGTTGAGCAGACAGACAACACCCCCTCAACATGCAGTGCGTCACAGCTTTGTATCAAACCCAGACAGCGCGAGTCAGCTTTGATCAAGGACAGACAACGCCTCCGCAATATGCAGCACGTCGCTGCCTCGTACCAAGGCCAGACCGCGTGTGTCAGCATTGAACCAAGTTCAGACAATGTCCTTCCAATAAAAAGCTTGAGGCCGTTGTATTTTTCGCCCTCCACGCACTCGCGCTCTCGCAACCACTTTTTTTGGAATATAGCTATTGTGCTCCCTTCCGTGATCCTTTTTTCTCTCCGACACTAGGCCCTGGAGCGGGTCAGCAG